AAAAAATGTTTAGATAGGAATGGGATCAGGGGTCACCTTCATCTTAGGACAAGGAACACCTTACTTTTTGCTGAAATTCTTAGCCTCGCTGGTGGCTAGAATACTGCTCCTTTTGTTTTTGCACAAAAGCCTTCTCTTCCTCATGTCTCCTTGGCTGCCTCTTGGGCTGTCTCAAGGGCTTCCTTTGGCCACCTTCTCAGCTGGACATGGCACCCGGTACTCCTTCTCCAGAAGGGAAGTCATTTTATGTGGGCAGCCTTTCCTAGGTAAGCTACTGTCACCTAACAGGAAAGGCTGCAGGGGACATGTCTGACCATCAGACACTCAAGCTCAGTATTGCTGCTTACATGGCCTTCCCTCCTTATACTTGGGAATCCTCTGAGTGACTGTGTGTGGCTATGAGAAGGAAAAGAACGAGGTCATGACAGAAGGCTTGGGCTCTCTCTCCTACCCAGTGGGGAGTTCTTGGAGACTTTAAATCAAGGGGGTGACATGACAGATTTACATCTCAGGAAGAGTATAGTTTGGGATCAGTTTCCCCGTCTCTTTAAAGCATTTCCTCGTGTATAAATATCCTCAGGGATAATTTGGCTCTACCCCCATAGGCTGATTTTAAATATTAAACGTGATAACATACATAGTTTAGTGAATAGCTATCCCAAAGCAAGTACCCACTAGCTGAAAAGGGTGTTAATGATATAATCACAGCAGCGAGAAACTAGAGACAGGAAGACTAAATGTAGTTAGGCAATAAGAATGGAAGAATGTTCAGCTCTAAAGGCGTTCAAGGCTGGGACAGCTGACATCTCACTCATGACCAGAGTTACATGGCTTGCCATAGTGAGCTGGGTACATTTCTTCCTGTCTTGCTCCGTAGACAGTCTCAGTTGATCACATAAAATAGCCTGCCCAAGAGAAGAGAGCCTTCTTTGAACAACAATAGTGTAAGAATAGCAGGCTGTTTGTGCTGGAATTTCTAAGCCACCTCCCATATGTACTGCAGCATCATGATTCTCCTAATAGCACTGTCCTCTTTTGTAAAACAAAAGAGACAATAGTGCGCCTAATTAAAGACTAATTGGGTCCTTAATCTCACAACAGCCAGTGCTTGTGTGGTAATAAAAAGTGGAAGGGAGCCTGCTTAGAAGGAGGGAGGGCGGAGCAGAGAGAGGTAGGAGAAAGGTGGTGATAGGAGTCAGATGAAGCAGAGGTCAGTGAGTGGGTTTTTATTAGGCAGAGCGATCAGCAGGTAGGAAAGGAGCACTGATGCTCTCAGCAGAAGAAACAATAAAAGCAAAGGTAGATAGGTGGGGAGTCCCTGGCCAGGCTCGGGGACTACAAATTTTTTGATAGATTGTCCCTCAAAGTTCTGATGTAGGAGGGGTAGGAGAGGCTGGAATGGAGACATGGGGCCAGACTGATGGAGTTCTGAGGGCCTAGGGAAGGAGCCTGGGCTTTCTTCTTCTGTGGTTTGATGGCTTCTGGAAGCAACCATCAAAAGCTTTTCAGGAATTCAGGCTTGTCTGTCTCAGGCGTCTCCTTCTGGAAGACCAAGGCCCCAAAGTGGCAGGCTGACATTCAATCTCCTTTGCCATGGTTGGGAAGTCAGGGCTGTAGCTGATTTCATTGGCCTGTTTTGCATTTATTATAGTGTGGCTTTTATAGTGTGTTAATTGAAATATTTCCAACTGCCAAAAACAATCACACTCAAAGTGCCTTGTCAGTTCTTTCATTGCCAGATAAATGTTTTACAGACGTTCGCAGGGCAGTGTTAACTGGACACACCCACAGGGCAGTGTTAACTGGACACACCCACAGGGCAGTGGTAACTGGACACACCCACAGGGCAGTGGTAACTGGACACACCCACAGGGCAGTGGTAACTGGACACATCCTCAGGGCAGTGGTAACTGGACACATCCTCAGGGCAGTGGTAACTGGACACATCCTCAGGGCAGTGGTAACTGGACACATCCGCAGGGCAGTGGTAACTGGACACATCCTCAGGGCAGTGGTAACTGGACACATCTGCAGGGCAGTGTTAACTGGGTCTCGTTTCCTACTTAAGGCTGGGTGGAGATTGGCCCTTCATTGCTCTGTTATGGGCCGGAAAGCTGTTGGATGTTATGATGTTTCCAATCTTAGAGGTCAGAGCCAGTTCAAAGGAAAGCTCACAGCGCCTGGGCATGACTGGAAACCTTGGCAACCTAGCTGAAATCTGAATCCTGTTGCCTGCCTTCCCAGTCAGAATTCCAGCCCTGGCTAAGATGTACTTTCTTCTCCTACAACCCCTTCCTCCTCCTCACCATTCAGTCCTTTCCCAAGAACCCTGTCTATCATTGTAAGAGCTGTAATAGATGGTTTACTCTACCCCCTTCATTTTACATGTTAGATTTTTGTTTGATGGAACATTTGATGGTCTGTGTAATTGTTCTTTTGTTACCTGATGTTTTCCCTTTTAAAAAGAATCTCAGGTTGGAGAGAGGGCTCAGTGGTTAAGAGTCCTAACTAACTCTTCCAGAGGACATGAGTTCGGTTCCCATCACCCTTACAGGGTGGCTCACAACCACTTGTTAACTCTAGTCCAGGTACTCCTATGTTCTTCTGACTTCATGGGTTCCCTCACATATATGACATACATACACATAGGCACATGCACACACCCACAAATAAAAATAAGTGTTAAAAAAAATCTCCACCTTGATAATCTTGTTCTGGTGACACCATATGATAAAGAGTCACCTCTGGCATCTTTTTTTTTTTTTTTTTTTTTAATCTCAGACTGGGAAGGTACCACTAATACAGTCCTTTAGCCACTGTACAGAGCTAGCTTTCAAAAACACTTAAGCTAAATGAGTGAGTGATGGGCACTGATGCCATTCACATGTCCTCCAGGAACCTCATTTTTCTGTCCTTGTCCCATTGTTTAGGTTAGTGCACAGCGGATAAATAAATGTTCCACAAATTTTATCAAATTGAATTGAGAATGATGCTATATACTAAACAACTTCTGTCAGTGTAACAAATACTGGGGATACTGTTTAAGAAAAGAATTTTTTTGTGGTTGTTGTTTCGAGACGGTTTCAGTGTATAGCCCTGGCTGTCTTGGAACTCACTATATAGACCAGGCTGGCCTTGAACTTACAAAGATCCACCTGCCTCTGCCTCCCAAATGCTGGGATTAAAGGCATGCACCACCACCGTCTGGCTAGAAAAGAGGTTGTTTTAACTCACAGTTCTGGAGGGATTTGGGGCATCCCTTCTGCATCAGACCTGCTGAGGTGAGGACCACATGGCAGAACTAGCATAGAAGGGAGCATCCCATCTTGAATCAGCAGCAAAGGGAGGAGGGATATGGGGCTTGCTCCTTTGTAACATTCTCTCTGAGAACTACAAAGTTGCAGGTTACAGCACTACCCTGATGCCTTCTGAAGTTCTGAAGGTGTGTGTGTCTCTAACATGCCAAGAGCTTCCAACTGGGACCCATCTCTTAAAGTCCCATTGTTTCCTGGTACCCACCCTGAGGACAAGGCCTACAACATGTGAACATTGGAAAGGCATTAAAACTATATGCTCTCGGGAACACAATATTTAAATTTTTCTTTTAATTTATTTACTTTGTGTATGGGTACCTTGTCTGCATGCGTGTTTGTGTACCATGTGTGTGCCTCGTGCCCTCAGAGGTCAGAAAAGGTGTTGGAGCCCCTGGAACTAGAGTTATGGATAGCTGGAAGAAGTCTCCACTGTGGGTACTGGGAGTCAAACCCATGTCCTCTAGAAGAGCAATCAGTGCTCTTGTCCACTGAGGCATCTCTCCAGCTCCCCCTCCCACGGCAGCCCCTGAACATGAAGTTTTAACATATAGAACCAGAGGTTATCATGTTCCATTCTGTACCTTTTGCTGATGAGGACACTGAAGCTCAGAGAGGAAAACCTTCCCTAAGGTTATCATCACCCATGAGATTTGATGGAATTCTTTAATCTGCTCTGTATGCCAGCTGTGTGTGTACCTTCTGTGCTTGGGTACGACAGGTGCTGCAGATATGGTAGTATTCCAACCAAATAAACATCTGCTCATAGGGTTTATATTTACCCCAAACAAGAGTTTATAAACATAAGATGCCTTTGAAATCCCTATTATTACCCAGTTCAGTGCTGAATGTTTGGTATATACTTTATTTTCCTGCCATTATCTCCCCAGTGCGGAGAGTACAGTACCATGTCTGTTTGTTGTTTTGCATTTGTTTGTTTGATTTTTTTTTTTTGACAACCCCACTATGTAGCCATGGTTGGCCTAGAACTCATTATGTATTCCAGGCTTGTCTCAAACTCACAAAGATCCACTTTTCTCTGTTTCCTGAGTACTGGAATCAAAAGTGTTACTATGTTCTGTGCAAGTGTGTGTGCACATGCGCACACACCACAGCACCTATATGGAGGTCAGAGGCCAGTTAGTGGGAGACTCTTCCCTCCTTATACCATGTGGGTTCCAGGGATTAAACTCAGGTCACCAACCTTATAAATAAGTGCCTTTACCCACTGAGCCATCTCATCAGCCTACCAATCCTGGTTTTATGTGTTACTAGAAAGTTAATCCAGAGTTTCATGCATAACAATTAACATTCTACCAACGAAGCTCCATCCTCGGCTCTCAGCACATACTGTAAAAATGTTTGTTGGAGGCGGGAGAGATGGCTCAGCAGTTAAGAGCACTGATTGCTCTTCTAGAGGACCCAGGTTCAATTCCCAGCACCCATATGGCAGCTCACAACTGTCTGTAACTCCAGTTCTAGGGAATCTGACACTCTCATATCAATGCACATAAAACTATTTTAAAATGTATTTGTTGAACTAGTTACAAGTAAGAAATTGCCAGTGCTAAGTTTCCTGGGTTACTCGCTCTTTGCTGCAAAGTCCCTGGGAAGAAGACTCCTTATGTCACAATCCATGCTGTTCCTATGCTGTCTCACCTATGACTTTTGTTTTTTTCCTCCCTTTAGAGTGTCACTGGGACCAGAGGAGCCAGGAAAAGAGTAAGTGCTGAGACCACCAGTCACCAAACAAGATGTTAGTGGCATTTTGTCTATTGGAAAATTATCCATACATTTTTATGAAATTTGAACAACCTAGAAGAATCTTAAAATTATGTTTAAGCTACTACCCTAGGACAACCTTTTATTTAACATGCAATGTTATGTCCTCCCAGATATTTTTATGTACATAAAGGATATATATATACATATATATATATATATATATGTAATAAAACAGTATGTGTTATTTTATGACCTGTTTCTCATATAAACATTTAGAGTACTTTCCATTACTAATATACTTTTATTATATCACTTAAAATTATTGCATAATATTTAACCACATGTCCCCTAAGGCCATACCATAAGTGCCCGACCACTGCCTCACTTTAGACGAAACATGTGGCCATTTCCTCTTTTCCACTATTATGACCAACCTGCAATTACCTGTATTTCTGGGCACGGCTTTGGTTATTTTCTTTTTCTTTTTTTCAAGGGAGTTGATTTTTTTTGAGTCAGGGTTTCTCTGTGTAGCGCTGGCTGTCCTGGAACTTATTTTGTAGACCAGGCTGGCCTTGAATCTACTGAGATCCACCTGCCTCTGCCTCCTGAGTGCTGGTACTAAAGACATGCGCCACCACCATCTGGCTTGGTAAATATTTCCACACTATTCTTTAGATAGGCTATGCCCGTTTCTGGGAGCTTACCTTCCACACTAGAGACTCTTCTTGCTTTCCAGTTTTGTCATGGAAGAAAAAGTATTGCTTCATTTTGAATGTCCTTGATTGTTGCTAAAGATGAGCATTTCAGATACCCCATAGCTACTTGGCAAGGCATTAAACATTATTGAGCAATGCAGAGCTTCTATCCTTGACTCTTTTGCCTTAAAGGAGCAAAGTATAAGACAGTATTTGTTTTAAGAGTAATTTTTTAAAAAAATAATCTTGATGTGGCAGATTGGAAGGCCAAGGACAAATCTGGTTGACAGCGGTAGTTGGAGAACAGTTTGGGCTCTCTTTGGCTGTCTAAGCACATTGTATAAAGCCTTTGGCAGCTGATCCTGGACTTCAGCTTCTAGGCTTTGTGGAAGGCATAGGAAGAGCTGGTTCTTCTGATGCCCTGTTAGAGACAATGTCCCATGACAGTGTTTCAGGTGAGCCCTGACCCCGGGATAGAGGTGGCTATGATCCCCCAGGCACTGAGAACCCCAGCCTCAGCAGTCCTTTTGGAATCTTCCATGAGTGGTCAGTTGGACATTTTCTATTCTGTGAACAACAGATAGAACTTGGCTTCAGGGAGGACTCATGAATAAAGGGGGTTCCTGAAGCATCACTTGCTTGTTGGAGCAGATTGGACACTCCTGAGCCAATTGTGTTTTCTGTTCAGGATGAAGATTCAGGGACTGATGTGGGAGAAGGGACTGATGAATGGTCCCAATCCAGAGCCACAGTTCGACCCCCTGACCAGCTGGAGTTGACTGATGCGGTGAGTGAGCACACACCATTCCCTGCTCATTTTATCTCCTGCTTCAGATGTGCGTTCTTCCATAGAGAAAATTAAAAGCCCGAGCAGAGCTGGCAGGTGCCCTGGTGGCCCAAACCTCAGAGGAGACAGGAGGAGCTGTACCATTGACTCTCTTGGTGTTTCTCTCCCTCAGGAGCTAAAGGAGGAGTTCACTCGCATCCTGACAGCCAACAACCCACATGCACCCCAGAACATTGTGAGGTACAGCTTCAAAGTAAGTCACCCTCCTGGGCAGGGCCTCATGTCTTCTTGAAGCAAGAGTGACTGGGCACATTGTAAAAGGCCCCCGGCCAGTTTTCAAGGTGGTCCTTGGTTAGAAATCTGGGGCTTTACATGGAATTCCAGAGATGTTTGAATTTTTTTTTTAAATTTTGGTACATTTGAGAGAGGGGGAGAGGGAGAAAGAGAGAGAAAGAGAAAGAGAGAGAGCACACATGTGTACAAAACAGAGAAGAGAATGGAGAAGGGAGACAGGGTTACAGTGTGCATGGTCAGTGGTCAGAGGGTAGCTTTTCAGAGTTGCTTCTCTTTCCACCCTGTGGAGCCTAGTGATCAAACTGAGGTTGGCAGGCTTGGCAGCAGGTGTCCCCATCTGCTAAGCCATCTTGAAGGCTCCTTTCAAATTTCTTAGTGAATCTCCCTAAAGTCTTACTAATTGCGAAGCCCTCAGTACTCTGAGGAGGAGTTTGTTCCTTGTGGTGCTGGGAACTGAATTTATGAAACCCAGAGCTTCACTCATACTGACCAAGTGCTCCACCACCGAGCTACACTCCAGCTTTGTGGTATGTATTTTTTTATTTTATTCATTTATTTTTTTTTTATTTTGAGACAGGGTTTCTCTGTGTAACAGCTTTAGCTGTCCTGGAACTCGCTCTGTAGATCAGGTTGGCCTTGAACTCACAGAGATCCAAATGCCTCTGTCTCCTGAGTGCTGGGATAAAGGCTTATACCACTACCACCTGGCAGTATATTTTTATTTTTAAGAATAATGAATCATTTGGTTAGAAAATTATTTTTACAATATTTCCAATATGTAGAACACATTTTCTGCCAACACAAGCTATTGGATCATTAGAAGCCTAGCTTTTCCTCCAGCCAGACACCTGGGTAGAATAGAGTCCTCGCTGAAAGAGATATTGGCCTCATATCCACACAGAACCTTCCCGTCTGAGAGGACTTCCATAGGCTCTGGGCACAGAGTCTCTTGATGTGCTAGCCAGGTAGGTAGATGGCTCCCAGGGCCATCTCAGTAACCACAATGTGAGGAAGTTTTTAGTAGGCACGTCTGCAGCAACAGTCTTTATAAGAGACGGCATTGTGTTTTAAGCCACAGCAGGTCAGCTCCTGTAAGGACTGGAGAGAATTTCAGAGTGCCTTTGAGCCTTTCAGTTCCACTCCTACTGTGTGCCAATGTCAGATCCTGTATGGAATATTTTTACATAGAATATCACAGGCAACCCTCAAGTTTCTTTGATATAGAATCTATCATCATCTTTTTGTGGATTCTGATATTAAAGTACATAAAACAAATGGCAAAAGTCATACAACCTGCATTCAAAGCAAGATCTGAACTATTTTGTCTGACTCTACAGCAAGGTTATATTGCTTATTTTAAACAATTTTTGCCAGGTGTAGTGGCTAAGACCTGTGATCCCAGCACTTTGGTGGCAGAAACAGGAAGATCACTGCAAGTTTGAGGCCAGCTTAGGATATATCCATGTGGCAGACCCTTTCTCAACAAACAAACTTTCACACACACACCTCTACCCCCACACACACCCCACACCACCCACCCCCCCACACACACACACAGAGGAGTGTGGGGAGATTTGAATATATAACAAAAGTCCATAGTACAAATTTCAAAATATTCAAAAAATGGTGGAATGCAAACCTCCTGTCCTATGTCCTTTTCCAGGGAGAAAGACACCCAGCTTTTTATTTGTTTAACCTTTGAGTCAGGGTCTCAATATACAGCCTGAACTACCTTGAACCTGAGAGCTCCCGAAAGTCTCGGCTTCTCCAGTTCTGGCTTTACAGGTGAATGTCACCATGCTTACAGCAATGGTTTAGCTTATTCACAGATTGTACAACTCTCAACACAACCCCTTCCCAGACTTTTTTGTCCCAGTTTTGTTTCTTTACAGAGCCTGGTGTAATCCAAGCTGACCTTGAGCTTGCTGTGTAGCTGAGTCTTGAATTCCTGGTCTTTGTACCTTCACTCCTGAGTGCTAGGATTACAGGTGGGCACCACCATGCCAACCTTAGAACATTTCCTCCACAGGAAATGCCATTCCTCACAGCTGTCCCCCTCCATCTCCCCCAGCCCTGGGAAGCATTGGGTGAATTTTTTTGTCTTTAGATTTGCCTGTTCTGGACTTGTGAGGAGGTGGATGCTCTCACATCTAATCTTTTGTGACTGGTTTCTTTCATTCAGCGTGATGTTTTCAGTTGTCCATGTTATACATATGTCAATACTTCATGTCTTCCTCTTGCCAAACAATACTTCATTCTATGACCATGCTGCATTTTCTATATCTTTCATTTGGATTGTCTCTTCTTTGAGCAATTCTAAATAGTGCTGCTAAATAATGAACATCTGTGTGTGTCTTGTGAGAAATTTCATGAACATACTGCTTCTTATTCAGCTTGTGTAGTGAGCCCCTCCACAGACGTTGAAGCAAATCTGGATGTGTTTCCTAAAAGATGCTATTCAAGAGATGTGCTAAAGACCCCCCCCCCTTGGGCAGCTTATAGAGTTTGGAGGGAGCTTCCTTTCCTCCCCAAAGTCATGTTATACCTTCCTGCCTCCTGTTTTGACATTAGCAATAGGGTCCCGCCAGGACGCAGTGGTCTGGCTGTGGCAAGTGCACTATACCGCAGGTGTTACCTTTCCCCTCCAGGGTCCTCTCTTGCTCCTCCTTTGAGTGAACTGCCAGCTGATGCCCAGGAAACTCGCCTTATTTATGCTTTCAGTATCTCTTCGTCCCACATTCTCCCACACAGCTGCCTCCATATTGGTGGTCCTGAAAGGCCCGATTTTAGGTCCCAAAACTGCTACTTCCCCTTGATGTGCTAAAGAATCCAAATTCTACCTCTAAATTGAAGAGGAAGTTCCCAGTCAGCAGTTGGGGACAGGATGGAGGTGAAGCCTTAGAAGAAAACTGGATGGGTCATTCATTCTCATGGGGATTTCCATCGTACTCTCGGTTACTGCCCCATTAAGGGTCAGTCCTTGGGCATTTACTACGTGGTAGGCATTGTGTTAATGGACTGCTTTCAGTATTGTTAATAGTTACACAGCCTTACAAACTGGACATCGTCATTTTATTTGACAGAAGAAGAAACGAAGGGTTTAAGATGAGATCATGAAGATAACAGGGGGCAGACTAGGGACTTGAACCCAGTTCAGCCACCAAGACCACATTCTCAGCCACTGTGCTTCACACTCCTATCCATCTGAGTGACTTTAGTTTTGTTTTGTGTTTTTGTCATTGTTGTTGTTTGAGACAGACTCTGTGTAGCCCCAGCTGCCCTGGAACTCATTCTGTAGACCAGGCTAGTCTCAAACTCAGATCTTTGTGCCTCTGCCTCCTGAGTGCTGGGCTTAAAAGTATGCACCACCACTTCCCAGCAAGATTTAGAAAAAAAAAAAATCAGGGTGCCTCACAAATATAATTATTTTCTATATGATGTGAACTGGTTGAGCAGAACTATTTTAAAAGAATGGAGGGGCCTCTGGTCTCCAACTCCATTTGGGGTTGCTAGGAGGCTAATAAATAAGATATCCACCGGAACTGCAGACCACTGCTCTGTAGAGCAGGAACTGTGTCTGCTGTTGCTCAGCTTTGTATCCTGGGCACCTAGAAAATACTTGGCATGTCATAGCTGCTCAGAAATTATTTGTTGAATGAACAAATACAGTTTTCTGGGCTTGAAGCCCAGTCCTGCTTCTCGTCTGCTATGTGACCTGGACAAATGCCAAACCCAAACTTTCTCTGGACCTCTGTGGTCCTCTTGGATAGAAATAGGGGGACTAGAGATCTGGTTGCCTCTGATGATCTGTTCCCTCTGACATCCACTAAAGTGTTATGTCGAGGCTATGCCAGGTGTGTTGGACAATTATGTCTGACCTGCCTAAGGTCTGCAGTGAGGTAGGTGAGCTGGGAACCCTTGGCCTGGATGCAGGAGACAAGGCACCTGAACCAGCAATGGGTAAAGGTCTGCTACTTCAGGCTGGGAGCCTGAAGCTTTGAGACTGGTGTGGTGGCACACACCTTTAATCCCAGCACTTGGGTGGCAGAGCTTGGCTCTGAGTTTGAGGCCTACCTGGCCCACATAAAGAGATCCAGGCCAGTATGGGCTACATAGTCAGACCCAACCTCAATCTATATCTATATCTATATCTATATCTATCTCTATCTCTATCTCTATCTCTATCTCTATCTCTATCTATACATATCTATATCTATATCTAGTCTTTGATGAGAACTTTTAAAAATCTCATTTTATTTGTCTTTCATCTTTTCTCCTTTAAGCAGAAATTCAGTGGAAACATTAAGGATTGGGAGTCATAGTTCCTTTGATAGAGGTGAACTGCTGACTTTTGTTTGAGCGGTGGTTCTCAACCTGTGGGTAGAGACCCTTTGGGGACAAACAACCCTTTCACAGGGGTCACCTCAGACCATAGGAGAACACAAATATTTACATTACAATTCATAACAGTAGTAAAATTACAGTTATGAAGTACAATTAGAAAAGCTTTATGGTTGGGGTCACCACAACATGAGGAATTGTATTAAAGGATCTCAGCGTTAGGAAGGCTGAGAACCATTCCTCTAGAAAATGAAGGCAGACTACATTCTGGCACCATCCCTTGCTGGGTCCTTGGTGTGATGTAGTTCCTCTCTTTTCAGGAAGGCACATATAAACTTATTGGTTTTGTGAACCAAATGGCAGTTCACTTCAGCCAAGTGGGAAACCTGATTCCCAAAGACTCAGATGAAGGACGGCGACAGCACTTCCGGGACGAGCTGGTGGCAGGTAGGATTGTGGAACAGCCTAAGGCTGCAGCCCCAAGCCTGGGACTCTGAGGAGTTGGACCCTCCAGAGCTTTGCAAGACCTTTACTTTCCTGGTGTCCAACAGCAAGCTGTCCCAGACAGGCCCGGGCGCTAACCTGGGTCATGGAGAGCCCAAGGAAGGAGCAGGGTCTGACAGGCAGGAAGATGATCCTCCCTGCCAGGGACTGAGCCGGCTTGGACCCTGAACTCATCAGCAACAATACTCTGTCAAGGCTCACAGGAGTCTGCCAAGGTGGTGACTTCAGACATAGAAGTCCTCGAAGAAGATGAAGAGCCCAAAGAAGCAGAAACAGAAGCAGGGAGTCAGACAGACGTGCCTGCTGCAGCAGAGGTGCGATGGTGTTGCTCTTTGTCCCCACCATTCCAGATCAGCTGTGGATGGAGAGGCTTTAGGGGCAACATGGGGAAGAAAAGATGTAGATGCTTGCTGTATGTGCCAATGCTCTGGCAATATCCTCTCGCCTGACCCTATCCTACCGGGTCAGGGATTCCTTCCCCTTACTCCTGTCTTCCACAGTTAAGCCCTGGCCCTTCTGACCTTTATTTCCAGACAACTGAAAAAGTGATTGAAGAAGAGCTCATGACTCCTGTGCAGCCCAAGGAACGAAAACTCACCAACCAGTTTAACTTCAGCGAGAGAGCATCACAGACCTTCAACAACCCCCTCCGGGTAGATCCCCTGCCACACCCCTCCCCCAGGCAGATCCCCCACCACATCCTTTTACTTTGAAGCTCTGTGCTATGCAGTGGCAAGGCAGACATGGGCCTGAGACCAATCCTTGCAAACCTGAGCCTGTGGGGGGGTGCAGGACAGACCACAGTTTCTCTCTCCAAGGAGAACTGGAACATGCATTCAAGACCCTGTGTTCAAGTCCCTATACGCAATCTAGTTATTAGAGGAAGGCCAGAGCCCTCAGACTGCATGGAGAGGTGGAGATTTAGGCTAGATGGGGAGGAGGGAGTAGAAATCATGGCCACAGTGTGCCTGGGGTGTGGGGAGTCTTGAAACAATATAAGGGGTGTTGATGGTCTCTGTGCAGGTCAGCTACCAGGTGAGAAACCCCTGCCAGGGTTTTAGGCGAGGCAGGGTCACGTGAGTGTCCTACAGTAGTGCATCTATGATGGAGAGCAAGATCTCCAGGGTCAGTCTTGAGTAGCACCTCATCATCCTGTGTGGTCCTGAGGCTGATGTTGGATAGTTGGGGTTATACATAATTGGGAGGGAGCAACTTACACTCCTGGATGCAGAGACCCCATTTTTGGGGAGAAGCCTTCCCATGTATGGGAAATTAGCCCCGGGGCTTGTAGGAAGCTGGCCTCTGTGCATTGTGTCTGGAGGCTGGTGACAGGCTGGCTTCTTGCAAGTCTGTCCATCCCTCACCTGGACCTTTTCTTGATTAAAAACTGGCATAATTGATCTTCACTGCCCTTGCTCTCCAGCTTAGGCTAATGAAGGAGGCCAGAATGGAAAAACAAATGTGGGATTTGAATAGTTCAGTCTTTCAATGGGCCCTTCTTTTCTTCCCCAGCTCTCTTCCTCCACCCCTTCCTCCACTCCAACTAAAATGTTTCTTTTAAAGATGCACTTTGGGTTAAGTGATAGGGAGGTGAGGTCATCTATGGATCTCCTCTCGTCGCTCTTCTCTAGGATCGAGAATGCCAGATGGAGCCTCCACCGAGAACAAACTTTTCAGCCACAGCCAATCAGGTAAGACCCTGGTTCAGCCTGGAAACTGTTCCCATCTGCACACTCCCACAGAGGAGACTGGCGTGGCTATGGGTTTCTCTGCCAGTCGACCTTAATTACCCATCCATCTCCCAGAACATCATCCTGAGCACTTAGTCCTGAACACAGGGCACATCACACACAGTAGGTCCCCAGTAGTGAGCTCTGGACCAGCTACATGACCCTGGTGCAAGGCTGTTTACGCTGGAGGCATGATTCTGGAGCCTTCACCAGAGCATGGGAGAACACTTGTTCCCATGGACCCCAGGGGGCCAGCCTGTGGTACTCTGTAACTGACTTTAAAGTCCCAACATCCTGACTGCCTTCACAGCAGCCTTTGCATTCTTGCAGACCCTCTTCCTTCCCATGAAGCCCTCGTGGCTGGCGGTGCTGACTTGGACAGGATCTGGTGCTCGGATCAGGCCCAAGCTCTGCTATCCCTACCGTGAGATCCTGGGCACAGAATGCGTCACTTCTTTCTTAATCCTTCTGTTTCATTCTTTGTCCATAAAGGATGATAAACTGCCCCACAGAGGTGTTAGAGGCTCTGAGTGAGATAACAAAGGCTGAAGTGCCATGCAGAGAGGCAGCTGCCTCTGGGTGAAGTTTTAAATGTAAGGTGTGCCTATCTGGCCTCCAGGTGGCAGTGACTGCCCAGTTGGGAAGCAGTCCGTGTGAGCTGCAGCATTTGCCCAGCCCCAGATCCTAGCTGCTGCTTCTGCTACAGCCCTTGGGCTTTTCTTTCTTCAGGTCCAGTTGGCAGAGTATCTATTTATCTCCTTTTAATCTTGAGATGTGGGCAGTGAAGTAGATGGCCAACTTCAGCCAATATTTTATCCCGTTTTCACAGAGGCAGACATTTTCCCCATTAACTCTCTCTCTCTCTCTCTCTCTCTCTCTCTCTCTCTGTGTGTGTGTGTGTGTGTGTGTATGTGTGATGCATGGAGGTCAGAGGACAGCTTGCAGGAGTCAGTTTTCATTTTCTTGCCACCATATGGGTGCCAGGGACTGAACTCAGGTCATCAGGCTTGCTGGAAAGGGTCTTTAATTTCTGAGCTATTTCACCAACCTGAGGAAGAGTTTTTTTTTTTTTAAGTATTTTAATGTTTAATTCAGTCTCCAACAAATTGTTAATTACCTAGTGGTTGCACATTTTCTCTAGGGGTTGGAACCTAGAACAATATTCACTGATCTCCAGCTTAAGATTCAGACCCTGTGCTTCAAGGTGGATAAGACTAGCTCTGAGGAACCCTGGAAACTCCTTCCTTCCTGTTCTAGAGTGGGTGATTAGCAGGAAAGACAGACTTTGAACATGTAATTACAATGACTAGAGGGTGCTATAGAGACACTTGACAAGGGTAATGCCACCAACTCCTGCAGGCTGAAGAGCTGGCTGAGTGGAAGCTGTGTCCTGTGGTGACTGTCCTGTCTTGTTCTTGCCTAGTGGGAAATCTATGATGCCTATGTAGATGAGCTTGAGAAACAGGAAAAGACCAAAGAGAAGGAGAAAGCAAAGACTCCAGTGGCTAAGAAAACAGAGAAGATGGCCATGAGGAAACTGACATCTATGGAGTCCCAGGTTTGGTGGGGTGTCTACAGTTCAACACAGAATGTCTGAGTGGGACCTTGGGCTAGAGGTAGATAGAAGCTTGGCTATATAGAAGGACTTCAAGAGGCTGACTTTGAGGTATAATTCCTTACCTCAGGAGAAGATGTAATGATAGCTAGAATTGTCCCTGGCATCCCACACCTTCCTCTAATTGATATTCTGAAGGTGAGAAGGGTTTGGAAATCACTGGTCCAGGATGGCCTTTCTTGAAAAGTCTGCATTATCTGCATGGCAGAAAGTTACCAAGTCTGTGTGTGGTAGGGGTGGGATTTAAGGATAAGGTGCTGTCCATTGAGTTTAGGGTGAGTTGAGTTCTGTCTTCAGTCTTGGATTTAATTGCATTTAATAGTTAAAGTGAGTGAGGTGGTTGATTTTTAGTTTTCACCTTGACATGATCTAGAATCATCTGGGAAGAAGTCTCAAGGTGGGGGGAGACTGTGTAGATCAGATTGGCCTTTGGGTGTGTCTGTGGGAGTTGCCATGGTTACATTAATTGATAAGGGAAGACCCAACCCACTGGGGGCGGTTCTTTTCCCTGGGTTTGGATACTTAGTTGCATAAAAGTGGAGAAAGTGAGCTGAGTATTAAGCACACATGCATTCATTGCCCCTCTCCCCTGACTGTGAGGTGACAGCTACCTCAAGTTCTTGCTGCCTTGGATTTCCCACTATGATGGACTGTAACCTGGAATTCTGAGCTAAAATAAACCATTATTCCCCTAAGTTGCTTTTGTCAGGATATTTTTATCACAGCAACAGAAACGAAACTAGGTCAGTGAGTCTTCAGGGCCAGGATCCAGTCAAAAGTTTATCCTAGATACCATCAACATCAGGTCATAGATGCAGCCACTTTGATTTGGACTGACCATAGGAAACAAGTGGGAGCTTTAGAAAGGCCATGGTTGGGGACTTAGAACACTGCAGCCTTGCAGAAATTTAGGGATCAACATAGAGTAAAGTGATATAACCATGGGACAATGGCATGGGAGAGATCACCACATGAAATGCTGGAGAACCTCATTTATTCCTGCAGCAGAGAGAAATCCTGGGTCAGGAGATGGAGTTCCAGAGTGGAGATCCTATGGGTGTGACCTGCCTTGGAAGAGGGTCACAAGAAGCTAGGGGCTGGTTTCAGCACTTTGGAGAGCGCCCAGGGCTCCTTACACTAAAATGTCTCTGCTCCTTTTTAACCACACTAAAACCCAGCTCAGTTAAAGTTCTGTTTTCTTTATCCAAGCTGTGTCCACATCCTCTTACCCTGTTCCATGACCCCGCTGTCACATTTGAAGGGATGTTTGAGGGTCCCTTGCTATGGCTTAATAGACTTTATCTTTCAGTTTGTTTGAATTACGGATGGGATAGTGCCCCTGCCTTAAGGGCTCCCTTGCACCGTTCCTTAGAGGAGGCTCTGGCCTGGCTTAGGCTTAGGCTCGTCAGAGTTTGGGCTATTGGCACTTCTGGGACTCATAATGGCAGAAGACCTCAGAAACCAGCAGAAGACTCTGAGACTGAAAACTGATGTGGTACCTAAAGTCTGCCAAAGCTGGTGTATAACACTCCCTCTCACACTGAGTTCTTCCAGCTTTGTTGCCATGGAAAATAGGGATATAGGCAGATTCTGACCTTCTATGCCAAGAAGCCACACTAAGGCAGGACATGGAGGAGGGGGGCATGATGTATATCCATTCCTGGGCGAGTACCTTGATAAGAACCCTCTCCCCAAAGGAGTTCCATTCTAGCTGGGGATGCCAAGTACTGAGTCAGACCTTCTGCAAAACAGAATGAAAGTGGTAGCACCTTCTCCTTTGCCCAGGCCTAGAGCCTGAGCAGAGAAACACCATTTCCTCAAAGACTTCTGTCTATTTAGGTTGGTAAAAAGCTCAGGTGTGGGCAGGGAGAAAAGAGATTAAGTTCATGATACCCTACAAGAAGGTCTCCAGTAATGGATCTCAGGTCTCAGGCTCATTATTGACTTGGCTGAATACACAAAAATGAATGCAAGCTTAGATTTGGAAGGCCTAGGGAAGTGAGATCAAAAACCACAAGTTCAGTCAGGACCCTTAAAAAGATATGGCTACCCCAGGAGCATGGCATCTAGACCAATTGAGGTAATATCTGTAAGGATTCAGGCATTACGCTGGCCTGCCCCTGTCACTTGGCAGAATGCACTCAGGCAGTATTCTGGTCTGCCCATGGTTGCTAGTCTGCACCAGATGCAAAGGACCCTTTAAAAGAAAGACCTCTGCCCATTTACACTCTTTTCCGCTGTTCCCCTGGGACAGACAGGACTTTTCCTGTCTCCCTCTTTTCTTCTGTCCTCTCTCTGTCTCTGTGTCTCTTTACCTCTTTTATCTTTCCTTCCCCCTCCCCTTTCCCTTTCTACTAAAACTTCTCACTAAGCTCTGTCTGCCTGGCATGTTTGTCCCTCTGCCTCAGGCACCCTCGCCTGCCACGGAATCTGCCAATGTCTTCCTTGCACTTTATCATAACAATAATAGCTACATCTAGGGTCCTTCATCTCCTAGGACAATGATAATGTAGTTAGACTGAGTAGGGACAAGAACATGGGTTCTGAAGCCCACAGACTAGTGATTTGAGTCTGGCTTTGATAACATGAGCTGGAGCTTTCTGAAGCCCCGGTTTCCCCAAGTGTACAACCATTTTAATGACATCATATTTTGCAAAATTGTTAAGCAAACCCACAAGAATATGTACGCACAGTACTAGAATCATCACTGTTAGCAATATGCCACACCAAGGCTGGTGGAGCTTGGGAGAGATCGCTGTAGGGAGTGTTGACATGGGGAAATGAGGTACCATCACGCAGCATCAGAGGGGTTGTCTTCAGGTATGTAGCTCCTTGTGGCTAGGGGACAGAGAGAAGCTGATGTCAGTTAATTGGCTATCTGTCCACAGCAAATGTTGCTTCACATAGGAACAGTCATGCTCACTCCAAAGCTATAAAAGGAGAGGTTGTGCTGTGTGTGGGTCAGGAAGAGGGAGGGTCATCTGGGAGCAGGTGAACTCTGAGCACTGTATTTACAGACTCCAGCATCTGCCCCTCCTTGCCAAGCTCTCCAAGATAAATAGAGTCAGTCTGAAGAGCGGTGAAGAGCCCTTGAAGAGCCATTCCCAGATGCCAATGTGTGAGCCTCCACACTCAACTGTCCTGACTGCACCGCTGCGGGGGGGGGGGGGGGCGAGTCAAATCAGCACGTGCCTTGTTGTTTACTCCCCACAGTGGGCTCTGAGTGAGAGGCTGCCCTCCCGCCCTTACCCCTTACTGTGCCACGAGACTCTGAGACTCAGAGAATCAAAGTGACTTGCTCAGAGTTGCATCCAACTAGGAAAGAATTACACATCTGTGTAATTTTACTTAAGAGTTTATTTAATTTGTGGAAAGAGGTCTCACATGAGCCACAGCATGTGTGGAGGTCAGAAGTTAACTTGTGGGAATTGTTTCTCTCCCTCTACCATGTGAGTCCTGGGGATGAACTCAGATCTTCAGACTCTACCCACTAAGCCATCTTGCCAGCCCCAGAACCTAGTCTCTTAATCACAGCCCAATATGTGGGTCTCTCCCAGCAGTACTAATCTCCAGGATCCCCATGTCCAAACCATGGTCACTGTCTGGTTACACATTCTGCTTGTTCCCTCCAGCCACTCCCCCACACTCTTTGCTCTTTTCTTTTTTTTAAAGACTTACTTTTAGTATTTTTAATTTTGTGTATATGGGGGGGAGAGGGTTATATGCATTTGAATGTGGTGCCCTTGGAGTCCTCTGGAGCTGGAGTTGCAGGCTGTTGTGAGCCACCCAGAATGTGTGCTGGGAGTGGAACTTGAGTCTTGTGCAAGAGCAGTAAGTGCTCTTAACTGCTGGGCCATTATCTCTCCCCCTCCCTGGGCTTTTCTTGCCAACCCGAAACTTCATGTTCTCTGTTAACTTGCCAAACAGTTTACATGTTTATGGAAGTTGCTTCTGCATTCAGAGGGAGTCTTTTTTTCCAGGGTTAACTTGCTGCTTTATCTGTGGTCTGGGAAGAGCCCTGGGCTAGACGGCTCAGTTCTGCCTTGCATTCCCACCTGGAGCTTATCTCTCCCTGTTCGGGCCTCTGTGACTCCCTCAGCCTGAAACTAAATAAATAAGGAGTTTGGACTGGGTGAACCCTGAGGCCTTTTATGGAGATCTGTTCATTCCCTGATCTGAGAAAGCCTCTCTGTCCCACCAAAGCCTCTAACAGGTCCTTAAGCACTTTGCCCACCAATACCTTCCTGGGCTCTGTTCAGTGCCTTTCCCAAAACAAACTGGATGGAAGAGGGAGAAGCAACTTTATCCAGGGACCAGATATATCCACTCAGTTCTTTGTGCACCTGTGAGGAAAGGGCTCTCAGAATGTGGTGGTAGTGGGAAATTGAGCTGGGAGTCGATTCTGAGCCTTTGGGATAGGTAACCACGGGGTTATATTGCTGAACCAATGGCAAATCTCGGCTTTGGCTCAGGCATATGACTGATGAGGACTTGTGACATTTGTATCCCACAGAGTGATGATATCACCAAAGTGTCCCAAGCTGCTAAAATTGTGGAGCGAATGGTCAACCAAAATACGTATGATGATGTTGCTCAAGGTAAGACTTAAGGGGATAGTGGTTTTCATTAGGGGGGTGTGTGTGTGTGCGCGCGCGCGTGCGTGTGCTACTGCACCTGCTTGTCTGAATGTGCACTTCATGTGTGCCTTGCTCACAGAGGCCAGAAGAGGGCATAGATCTCCTGGAACTGGTGTTGCCGACTCTTGTGAACTGCCTTACAGCTACTGGGAATCAAAACCCTTTCTGCAAGTGCTCTTAACTGTGAGCCAATTTTTCAGTCTCCGAAATAGTATTTAAAATCCTTCACAAAAGACTAGTGTTTGAGTGTTCCATGCTAAGTCCTATAGAGAAGAGGAAGATAAAACAACAACCACCTTCTTTCCTCCTCTGGATGTTGCTGAAGAGGTTAAGATGCAAGTCCACCATGAATGACGACGTAAAAAACCGTGGGTGCAGTGACGAGATGCAGCAAAAATGACCTGCAGAATAGTAATCCAATGCCATATTCCCAACAGTCCTGGGAAGCAACCAGAGAAAGGACAATCACTCTGATTTCACATATGAACAGCAAAGGCCAAAGCTGCCTGACCAGGGAGCAGCAAAAAGAACCCAAATTTAGGTCTTTCTCTTGTGTCTCCACTCAGTTGACTTGGAGATGGTAACACTAGAATTTGTGGGAGATGAACTTCTCTGGGGCCTCCTAAAGAAGAGAAAAATAGCCAGGTAAAGGTGATGTATGCACACCTTTAATCTCAGCAATTGGGAAGTAGAGACATGTGGCTCTTTCTGAGTTCAAGGCCAGTTTGTCCTACAGAACGAATAGGACAGCCATGGCTACACAGAGAAACTCTGTCTTCAAAAAACAAACAAAAACAAAAAGAAGAGGAGGAAAATAAATATGGGATGCACGGGAATGGTCAAGGAGGGCCTCAGGGAGCGCTGGACTGGGTGGCAGGGACAAGCAGGTGTAGGAGGGGGAGGGTGTTCTCAGCAGAGAATGGCGTGAGCAGTGACTTGGCATCGAGAATGAGTAGGAATTCACTCTGGGAAGAAGGGGCAGCAGACTCGAGGACCCAAACGGTAGCTTTGGGAAATGGCGAGAATTCAGGATGAAGAGGGCTGGGGCCTGATACCTGCTAGGCCCCAGGCAGAGCAAAGCCCAATGAAAATGGAGCTGGGGGAGGATGTGACTGGTCAGAATTCAGGGACCTAAGTGAAGGTATGGGGTGGCACGGGCTGGAACAGAGAGACTGTAAGAGTGGAAAAGCAAGCACCTCGCAGGGCCTGGGTGCCAGGCATTGTGCTGTACAGTGTGGGCACAGCATTTTACATTCACAAACAGCTTTCCGGGGATGTGAATAACATTATTATCCCCATTTTATAGACGAGAACCCCAAGTTAATATGTTACTTCTTGCCCAAAATCACAGCCAGTGGGAGCTGTGAGTGGCTGAACCAGATCTCGAACACTGGCCCCTGGCAAGTTTGTTGACTAACCACGTCACCACAGAGCCATTGAGGTGGAGGAGGCATTTCAAATGAACACACTCAATAGATCTATCCTAGCAATTAATTAGTTACGAGGTGAAGATAGAAATTGATTCAGAAATGCTTCAATCCTGGGGGCCTGGGAAATTCTGGTGTCTGACAGTGCCAAGGAAACGGAATCCTTCCCATGCTATGAACAGCACATCCCCAAGTGGCTTGTATTTCCCTAAGAGGTTGTGCATTTATGTGGAGCAGCTGCCTCCCCAGAGTTGGCAACGCCATGTTGCTGGCTGGTCTCCTTTGCTGACAGCCTCGGGCCCTTCTTGGTGACTTGATGCTCATTGCTCACCCGTGGGACACACAACTAAGGCTGCCAAGACCAGCAGCCTAAACAAGCCCCCTCGTTATCGTTGGGGCTGGAAAACGACCTTGAGTGCTTTTCAAAGCTGTCAAAGTACACAGCAGCTGTGAATGAATTTGTCACTCACACAGCATGGCTTCCTGAGACCCAGCCTCTGCAAGTGGCCCGCCACAGGGCTGCAAACCTGATTAATATCCACAGAGAAATTGGCCTTGTGAACTGCTTTCATTTATAAGAACACAGTCGCATAAAAATGCATTAAAGTTTGATTTTTTTTAATTGCACAGTGTTTTCCCTTTGGGAAAGTGCAATCATGAAGGAGAAATAAAAATAAAGAAGTGTTACCAATTAATCCCGCTCTAAAGTGAGGAATTTTCAGAGCTCCCCCAAGCTCAGGAATCTTGATGTGATCAAGGCTCACACCTTTCTGACCACTCAAATTTTCTTCTTTTTTCTTTCTTTCTTCCTTCCTTTCTTTCTTTCTTTTTTTTTTTTTTTTTTTTTTTTTTTTTTTGTTCCAAGACAGTTTTGAGGTTTGGATGTAGTCCTACAATAGCCTCACGGTATGGGGCATTATGGGACAGTCTGGGCAACGCCTGGGCGTGTCTCCAGCTGTGCAGAGTTGCAGAGTTAGAGAGTCCCTCTAATTAGCCATCCTACTTGAAAGAAGACAGAACCACTTCCCATCTGACTTTGGGTCTCTGCTCTGTGGCTGTCCTTGGACCATGCACTGGGGACACAGGCCCTCTAGGAGCTGTGCAGCCTTGAAGTCAGGAAAAAAGATGTGTCAGGCGGTCATGGCACACACTTTTGATCCTAGCACTTGGGAGGCAGAGGCAGGCAGATCTCAGTGAGTTCTAGGACAGGCTCCAAAGCTACACAGTGAAACCCTGTCTCGAAAAACAAAAGACGGACAGATATCTCAGTGGAGGAGAGGCAGGACGTAAATAGACAAATTAACTCTACTTGAAAGAGCCAGGTATGCAGGTGTGGTGGTTCATACCTGAACTTGGCAGCATTCAGGTTGTTGAAACAGGAAGATGACCATGAGTTCCAGGCCAGCCCGAGTAACATAGTGAAAAATAAAGTGCAGTGGCACATGCCTGTAGCACTAGCTATGTAGAGGGCTGAGGCTGGAGGATCACTTAAGCTCAGCTTGGGTAATATAGTGATAATAGGTTACAGACCCTCTAGTTGCCATGTACAGATTCCCTCCCTCCCTTCCTTCCTCCCTCCCTCCTTCCCTCCCTCCCTCTCTTCCAAATTATGCCACACTCCTCTGCAAAACTCTCTTGACAAAGTTGATAAGCAACACATGCTGTGGTCTTGCAACAGGAAAATGAAGACCCCATAGAAAAGGGGGATGTTAAATCAGATAAAGAACAAGTAGGAGTCAGCCAGGTAAGTCAATGCTTTCCTAGACATGGACCAGCACAAGGGAACATAAGAGCACCTGGTCAGAGAGGATGTCAGGTGGTGGCCAGGGGCCAAGATCTGATCTGATCAGAGAACCTTGTTCAAGGAGAGCCACGAGAAGTTTCAGCGACATGGGCTGAGTGGCACGGTGAAGAGGCAGTTTGCTATTGCTCTGCTGGCCCTGGAAAGCATGGACTGAAAGGGTGGTTATGGGAGGAGGTGGGGAGACCAATTTGAAGAATATGATAGTCAGGAGATGGGCTTAGGGATCTCAACCTAGGTAGTAGTAGCTATGGGGTTTTTTTTTTTTTTTTAAGGGATTTAAAAAGGCAGGAGGAAAATAGAAGAAAGTGTAGAAAGGTATCAGTCAAGGGTTCCCCAGCCTCCCAGTTTAGGTAAATGGAAAGGTGAGGCTTCTGGCTAGCTTAGTGAGAATGGGAGAGGACTTTGAGGACGAAGCTGAGTGTTGGGAATCCATGGAGGAGTGTCCAGGTGGCTTCATCACAGTGAGGCTTGGCAGAGAGTATAAAGTCGGGCTGTGTTTTAGGAATCCAGGAGGCAGAATGAATAGAACTATTAATCAGCCTCTGGCAGCTGAACCTTTGAAATCTGGTTGCTGTGATTTGAGCTTCCGAAGCACTGAGAAAGCTCACAAGGATGAGAGATGCAACCTGGGATTCTGTCCACGCACATATGGATGCATTACTGTAATTTCCCCCCAACAACTAATATACAGGGAGAACTTATGTGCCAGGCCTTTTTCTAAGTACTTTGCATATATTAAACTCAACCTATATTCTCACAATAGTCCTTTGAGATGGGTACCACTATTATTTCCAGCCCCAAACACAAAGAGGCTCATTGTATTGCCCAAGGAGGTATCGATTTGCTACAAAGCAGCAGCTCCTGGCTGATTGTATCTGTTTGTGTTTAAGATTTTAAGTACTATGAGGATGCTGCTGATGAATACAGGGACCAGGAGGGTACGCTGCTGCCTCTCTGGAAGTTTCAAAATGACAAAGCCAAGCGCCTGGCCGTCACCGCCCTCTGCTGGTGAGTACAGATATTGCAGAGAATCTAGGGCCCCAGAGCACCCACTGTGTGCCAAGTCCTGATCCATTCATATGGCCCTTCTATTGCACTTTATATCTCGAGTGTGACATGTGACAAAGGAGGGGGGAAATAGGACCTGGATTCTAATAGGACTTCAGGATTATCTAATGTCTGCTATTAAGGATCTAAGCTTGACAGTGGTTGTCTGCAGTGCATTTAGTCACCAGTGCCCATGGGGAAGTTCATAATCATGGGAGGGCCACATCTGTTTCCTGTCCAGTGAGTTCACATTTCTTTTGCAGGAATCCAAAGTACAAGGACCTTTTTGCAGTGGGACACGGCTCCTGTAAGTGATGTAGCTATTCATTTGTTTGCTCGTGCGAACCTCAGACACTAAGTTCCTAGTCTGTTCAGAGCTTTTGGCCGGGTACGAGAAATACAGAGATGACTAGGAAGTAGTCACTGTCCCTCTGAGAGAGCTCACATTCCAGTGCAGTGCTTCTCAGCCTTCTTAATGCTGTGACCCTCAACACAGTTCCTCATGTTGTGGTGACCCCAACCATAAATTTATTCTCATTGCTACTTCATAACTGTATTTTTGCTACTGTTATGAATCATTATGTAAATATCTGTTTTCCAATGGTCTTAGGCGACCCCTGTGAAAGGGTTGTTCAACCCTCCAGGGGTCACGACCCACAGATTGAGAACCACTGTTCTAATGAGCACACCACTCTCGTATGGGCAATTAGTGTTGGTCCGAAGAATAAAGCTGAGTATGCCAACTGAACCTCAAGGAAACAAAGGGGAAAGCTTTGTAGCAGAGGGACCGGCATAGGCCAAGTCTGCAGGCCTGAGAGATATGTTGGGGTCAGTCTTCAACAGACCTGGTAAGTCGTTTCAAGAAGGAAACCACTGAAGGAATTCTAGAAAGGCACGTATATGTCCAGCACGGGAAGGAATTGCAGGCCTGAGGCAAGGGGCTGGGAGACCTGGTGCAGGTGCGCCAAGGAGAAATGGAAAGACCTCAGCCACTCAGAGACTGGGTTGGCGGCCTTCTCCCTGCATCCTCTCCTGACCTTCCTGACCAGGCCTGAAGCAGGGTAGGAGTGAGGAAAGGTGAGTACTTGAAGTTTGTTCTGCTGTTCCTGAGGCACTGGAGACCACAGTTATCCTGTGTTGCTGGCCCTGTTAGGACATATTCAAGGCAGGAGCTGGCACACGGTGGTACCTGTGTCCATGTAGTTTGCCATTCCTTCATGTTCCTTGGGCCAAATATAAGTCCTCACCACTGAGCTGGATAGTCCCTGCTTCTAATGGGAAGGGCCCTACACGGCCAGCCAGGCACAGCTCCCTAATGCTAACAGCTTGTCCTCTGGCTGGGAGGACTCACTTCTGTGAACAGAAAAACCCTTCCATTCTCCAAGCTGCTGCTGGCTGGCAGGCATACAAGCTCTTGGACACTGCCCCTTAGCTTGCCCATACGTTCTTTGACCAGGATAGGGATCCAAGGGGAGGGGAAGGAGATGGTATTTGTCATTCTTCTCAGGGAGGAGACCTTGGAGCTGCTCCCAGCCCTGTGGTCTGGGCTGCCTTTGAGGGTGCCCTAAATGCCTGCTTTGTGTCCCTACTCCTGAGGGTGTGCTGCTGCCAAATGGGAAGCACCCTCCCCCTCTGGCAGGGAACTAGTACATTCTTCCCTTTCTGCTGCAGCTACTGGGCCTGGAACAGAGCCTGGGGTTTGGGTAGGCCCTCCCAGGAGTGGGTGTGGACCCCCATGTGAGGTCCAGACTCTCTGCTTGAGACTGAGGTGAGAGTATGGAAGCCTCCCCAGAAGGTGGAGGAAAAGCTCCATAAATTCCAGCCCATCTTCTAGCCAGGGTTAGAAGCCAGGTCATGTAGAGGCTATCCCCAGGAGGTAGCCTTAGTCAGAAAAGGTGATGCCTTCTCCGAGGGAATGGCCTCAGGGTGACAGGCTCACTGGCCTCCTTTAGGCAAGCCCTTACCTAGGAAATGTTTCTTTGTCTTTCCTTGGTCTCTTGATACACAGGCCCAGTGGTACCTACCCACAGGCAGCTACAGACTTCCCTCTGGAGGGTCACTTCTTAGTGCCTTTGTCTCTTAGAGACATGGCAAGGCTGACAACCAGCCAAGCCCTCACCTGGAGCCATCAGGAGCCCTGTATGCAGGAGGAGTGCCCTGTGAGCTCCAGAAGCATTTACACATCAGACCAAGAACATGCCGCTGGCTGTCCTGTCCCCTGCAGACCCTGAGAGGGCCTGAGCAGAGCAGGAGAGATGGGGGATCTCTACAGAAGCCAGTGGCAGAGGAAGTGCTCTTTGCTGCTGTCACTGGCACAGGGGTTACTGGCTAGCTTTCAAATGATCATCTATCACAGTACCAGCCTCCGGCTCGGCCTCAGAAATTCTGCATTGGCTCCTGAGATCACCTGGGGCATCCTATAGTCTCAGATGCATGCTCCGGGAAGGAAAAGTACACGTTGTACAGACGCCCAGTTGTGCAGCACCCCGGTTGTGGATAGGCTCATTGTAAGGGGCAGGTAGTTTCATCATCTCCCTCACTGCCTTTGAAATTTAGATTTATTGTTGAGTTCAGTCCTGAGAAGCACAGTCCAGGCCTCTTAAGCTTCCTTTCCTCCTGAAATTTATTAGTTTATTAGTTGGGATGACTATTGATGTGAGGAAATACCATGAGTAAAGCAACTTGGGAGGACAGGGTGTATTTGGCTTCTGTTTCCACATCACTGTTCATCATCGAAGGAAGTCAGGACAGGAACTCAAGCAGGACAAGGACCTGGAGGCAGGAGCTGCTGCAGAGGCCATGGAGGGGAGCTGCTCTACATGGCTTGCTCAGCCTGCTTTCTTATAGAACCCACAACCACCAGCCCAGGGATGGTACCACCCTCATAATCACTTATTGAAGAAATGCCCTACTGGCTTGCCTACAGCCTGATCTTATGGAGGAATTTTTCTTAATTAAGGTTCCCTCCTCTCAGATGACTCCAGCTTGTGTCAAGTTGACATAAAACCAGCCAGCACACAGATAGACATATATTCCAGAAAGGACTGGGGCCTGCCACATCCTTAGGACACAGTTTCCTGGAGCAAGAAAAGGAAGCAGGCATGGTGGCTCATACCTTTAATCCCAGCACTCAGGAGACAAGCTGATAGATCTTCGAAGCCAGCCTAGTCTATGGAGTAAGTTCCAGGCCAGCCTACTGAGAAACCCTGTCTCAAAACCGCCCCCCCCTCAGAGAAAGAGAAAGAGAAGTATAAGCAGTAAATCCATATCTGCCTTCCCACTGTGGTTTCTGCCACCAGCATGCTAGGCTGCTTAAAGTACAGAGACAGGAGTATCCTGTAGTTCAGGCTCCATATTCCCAGATCAGGGGAGGAAGAGGCTGTCAGCAGGCGAAAGGGGGTGGAGAGACATTGGAAGACAAAAGGAGTCAATCCAGGAAGAGATGGTCTTGAAACAGCTGGGATGTGACTGTGCCAGCCTGTGATACGGAAGGGGTCCGTTCCAGCACATTAGCCTGCACATAGCAGGGAGACTCCTTGGGGTCTGTCAGGCAGGGATAGCATAGCAAATTCTATGTGTGGCCCGAGACTATCCCACAGGAGACTGGGCAGGGAGCATCCCAGCAGGTCCCACATTGGAAGGGCAAAGAAGCCAGCTGTCCTCCTGCCCAGCCTTTGTCTCAAAGGAGGCCAACAGCAGCCCTAAATTCTGAACACTAAAGTCATTCCTACTCTGTCTCTTGAACTTGCCCAGGCCAGAGGTACATTTGTAAGGATTTAAATCTTCCCCGATCATTTATTTGTCAGCTTCACTAATTAAGCAATGCTAATTTCATTTACTGAAAATGGAAATTCATCCACCTCATTTCTCCCTGTTCATCCTCCACACACAGAATCCATCACTCCTTAGCTGCAGGCTGCGTAAAATTTACAGGACTAATTATGTTGTCAGGTCTCTTTGTAAATACAGTCCATAAAGGCCACTATGCTTGCCGGGTTGCAGTGCAAGGGCATTTCACTGTTAGTTTAATTACTGGTTAGTTATTTAGGTCCTCAAATGTTTGCCTCATTTTCCCTAAATCAAATTAAATGTCCCAATTGATGTATTCTGTCTCCAAGGCCTTGCTCTTATTTCCCACACTGTTTAAATACAACTCCCAGTCTGACAAGGATGCCTAGGAAAGCCCCATGGCCCGAGAGCCTGAGCAGGGCTTGGCTCTAATGCCTCTGGCCATAGCCCGGGTTTGGAACTCTTCTGGGATCAAGACCCTTATCCACAGCAGCCTTGGGCTGGTTCTCTGCCTATGGAAATTGTGGGAATCCTAATATAAGGGGGCATTTCTGTCCCCAGAGTCCAAGGTTGGGGGTGGGGGCAGGGGTAGGAAAAGGAGAGGTCTCACTGTTGATATGAGAAGGGACCACAGCAGCCATTCCTCTGACTTGTGTATCACCCAGAGAAGCGTCATTGCTCTGGCTCCTAAAATTAGAGTTTGGGCCACCCAGCCCTGGATGCCTCTGATGTTTGGTTCCTGTTGCTGGAGCAGCAAATGATTACAAGCACAATGGCTTAAGCGACACATTTCTTCTGCGTTCTGGAGGCCAGAATCTCAAGATGGATTTCACTGAGTCAAAATCAGGTGTCAGCAGAGCTGTGTTCCTTCTGGAGGCCCCCCAGGGAGCACCTGTTTCTTTTTCTGTTTCCAGCTTCTGGTAGCTGCCTGCATTCCATGGCTTGTGACCCTCTTCCAGCCAGCAACCGCATCACCCTGACATCGGCTTCTGTCGTCATGTCTGATTCTCTGACCCTCTTGCCTCCTTCTTTCCCTTATAAGAACTCTTACTATTACATCAGATCTACCCGGATAATCCAAGATAATCTCCCCATCTCAAGGTCTTTAACTTAATCACATCTGTGAAGTCCCTTTTGCCATACAAAGTGACATATTTATAGGTTCTAGGGATTAGGATGTGGACATTTGTGGGGGGAGCATTATTCTGCCTACTCCACGCCCCCTCCAAGTGCCTCTTGCATGACTTAATAAGGGAGTCATCAAACAGCTGCTGCCTTGGAACCAGTCCTAGGCTGGCCTTGTTTAGGATGCCACAGAAGAAGCCTGCCAGCCAAGGTTGGCACGGTTTCCTCATCTCTGCAGTTGGCATCTAATTCCTACTGACCACTGACCTGGTGTTAGCCTTGTGCCCCAACATGCCCTCCACCTGCCTTGCTCCCCTTGAGTCATGAGTAGTTCTTCTGCAGCCAGAATGCTCTACAGTGTCTACCCCTCACAGACAGACAGGGTGGCAGTTGTGGGTCTGAGGCCCCCCCAGTGATAGATTCCAGTTTAAGAAGAGGTTGGGCTGTCTTGCTCAGGGCTCCAGCAGCGGAAGCTGAGGGCAGTCAGAGCTTTGGTCTATGGTAGGATTAAGACATGCATATGAAGCCAGACCTAGTGCCTTAGACATGTAATCCCAGATACTCTGGAGGCTGAAGCAGGATGGCAAGTTCATGGCCTGCCTGGACTACAGAGTAAGTTCAAGGCCAGCCAGGAGATCCCTTGTTCAAAAGAAAAATAAGAAGAGAGCTTGGCTCAGTGTCATAGTATTTGACTAGATTCAGTCCCCAATAAAAGTAATTATCTGTCTTTCCCTCCCTCCCTCCCCTCCTGTTTCCAGAGATGGTTGTTTTAGGAGAATTGCCACATAAGGCTCTGTCCATTGGGGTTGATTCTTCACTCCATACCTTGTGGATCATTGACGGGAGAGTCAGGGGCCATGGTAACAGCAGTGGAGTGTGTAGGCAGGAAACAAACTTGTCACCAGAAAGAACGAGATGTGTGCTGAGATGTGTTGTTGACTTTAACCTTTTTCCATTCTTTATACTGATGGTGGGGAACACACTTTCTCATAATCCAGAGCCCTAGTAGCTGAATGCTCTGGAAGGATTCCCAGAGACTATCAAGACTAGTAGACTTTCTCACTCTTAGACCTTTTCCTCCCTTTGTTCCCCTGTTATACCCAGCCACATGTCCTTCCTGAAATCCTGTGCTCTGGAGGACTCTAGAATTTCTTCATTGGCCCCACACTAGAGTCTTTGCCTTGTTATACGAAGGTAAAGCCAGGTGGCTTCCATCTGGGGTCACTGGAACTAGGAAGTCAGTGGCATTAAGAAGACAGTAACCCAGGGACAGAGATCTAAGGCTTCTGGTCTCATTGGTAACTGGGGCACTAAGTGATCCTAATGTTATACTGGGACTAACGGTGACCTGGTTAGTTGCATACTGGGAATGTTGGGTGGCTGAGCAATGAGGTCATCAGGCTTCTGGTGGTCTGGCTGGTGATATCATACTAAGATTTTTGGATGACTGGGCAATGATGACACTGACAGATGATGCCACATGAGGACCTTTAGTGGTTTGAGTAATAATATTGTCATGTAATGGTTTCTAGATACAATGATGGTATCACATGGGGCTGTGATGTCACACTGGGTATAGGTGTAAGTGGAATTATGAGATGTCACTGAGGTCAAGAATGAGTTCACCTTACAAGAGTTAAGAGGAAGCCCCACTCAGATGAAGTTTTTCTCTGCTTTCTTGGTGTATTTTGACAAAAAGAGCCTTGAACTAAAACTCAACAAAACACATACCCTAACTAGGACTGCTGTGCTCTGTATTTAGGAGGGTTCCTTTGAGAGGGGTGAATGTTGAGACAGGGTTTCTCTATGTAGCCCTGGCTGTCCTGAAACTCTGTAGACCAGAATGGCCTCAGACTCATAGAGATCCTCCTGCCTGCCGAGTGCTAGGATTAAAGACATGTGTGTGCCACCACTGCCCCGAAAGGAGGACTCTTTTAGCTGAAAGTAACAGAGGCCTCTCAAGCCAGGGGGAGGAGGCGTGACTGAATCCCACCATGCGTGTGACCATCACACTAGTGTGATTGGTTGCTGTTTGTGTACTTCACTCATGGCATCTTCTTCTCTCTACACAGCCATCCCTTTATCACCCTTGATTGCCCTGTCCTTATCATTGTCTAGTGTAGAACCTGAAGGTTTGTACTGGCTTTGCCAATAACTACCACTTTGTTCTAGTTGACGCTGCCCTTTCTTCTGCCCTCTTCATGTAAAGAACAAATTACTAGGCCTGGAGGGATGGCCCAGCAGGTAAAGGTGCTTGCCACAAACTACGATTGATCCCTGGAACCCAGAGTAGGAGGAGAGAGATGACTCCTACAAATTGTCCCCTGCCTTCCACATGCTTTGCGGTAGCCTGTGAGTGCCTCCACACCCACAAATAAATAAACAAAAATAACTTTAGAGACTAGATTAATGGGGGAAGATAAGCTCGGCTATTAAAAGGATACCATGTGACATGTATTATGCATGCAAGTAGACCATGGTCTCCCTCTGAGAGTCTGTTTTCCATGTATAAAGTTAGGAGGCCACAATTCTGACTTCTTGTACCAGTGGTTCAGCAAATAGGTCAGAAATGTCCTCCATTTGGAGTTACTAAGCAGCCCAGGGCTCCCTATCCCCTTCCTGCCTTCACTGGTCATGAGCACTGCGCATGTCTTCAGGAGCCAGGGGTACCTGGAGTTTGTCTAGAGAAAGTAGCTCATCGCCACTGTCTATCAAGGGGCCAGGCCAGTGTACTGTTCTCAGCCTCACCCATTGCTTCACTCTCCCATTCTCCCTCTTAACCTGTCCATCTCTTACCCTTCGTCAGTCTTGGCTAGTACGGAGGATAGATTGGAATCGGAAGCCCCAGTGGCTGACCTCTAGCTAGTGGCCAGCCGGAGAGCACAGCGATGGACTGTCTTGGACCTTTCAGGGTGAATAGGAGTGGAACGGTGGGAGGTAGGGAGAGGCAGGCCAGGTGCTCAGGGTCTGTTTGATAGACACAAAGAGCAAGGGTGACCAGTTCTAGCCCTCCAAGAACCAAGAACGGCAATGGCCTTGGGCAGATCTAGATATCTTTGCTTGGAGAATTAACCCTCAGGGCCACTTAGGAGCTCGTGAATGGAGGTACTGCCAGCTCTGCCCCACCTACTTCAAGGCAACCCCTTTACTATGGTCTTGGCTTCAGGGTATTATGGAGTGTCCGCCAGAGAAGACTGATCAAACCGGGATTTAAGCCAATAGAGACTCTTTCTTAGCTGGCTGGTGACTACCACACTGTGTTTGGGGTCCCAGTGTAGCCTCAAGCCTTTCTCAGGATGAGCTTTTAAGCACAAAAACCATGTCCTGGGCTGACATATTTTGGTTCATAAGAACAGTTAGCCAGAAGCAGAACTACAGAATCAAAAAAGCAAGGTTAGGACATTTAGATAGAGCCTTTCTCAGAACTACGGACTTTGATGGATTGGGTCTTTTTTAGTTTTTGCAGGTGGTGCTGAGGTTTACGGCCTGAATGGCCCTTCCATCATGGCATCAGTTGTGCTAAGATGTAGCCCTGTTTGAAGGGATCTTGAAACCCCAAGCTCACTTCCCCTAGGACAGCCATGTTTTCCTTCCTGCACCACCTCCTCCATGGCCCAGGCTGGACCCTAGAAGCTTGCACTATCAGTATGGCTCTTCCTGACACACACGGCCTGCAAGGGGTCCAGAGAGGGCCCCTGAGCTGTGGAAATCTATCACTGCAAAGGCCTGGTCTTCACAGAGTCTCTGGGTGGCAATACCGGGGACGTACATGATAATAGCTGAGGTCATGTCATGAGTCCGGGGGCTATGTGGGGCTCCTTAGAAATGAGACAGAGAGAAATGACTAATCCAAACTTGTCAAGTCGGTGTTGCTTTCCTGTCTTTCCCACATCTCTGCACACCTTAGGACCAGCTACTTTGCTATGCATGGCCAGGCTCTGCAACCAGTAGGCTAGAGGAGGACGCCGGGAAACAGGGATAGTGGAAAGGTCAAAGGCTGCCTGGGGTAGGATGTGCAAGATGGAGTACTACAATAATTTGCCTTCTACCTTTCCGACTCTGGCTCCTTGACCTGAGGGATACTGGGAGGTCTGGACTGGCAACAAGGGAACTGGATGTGAGGGCTGGGTCTGTGTGCTGCTCAGTGGATGTGTGTCAGCATAGTCACTACCAATGCAGATGACGTGCAGGCAGGGATGACCTTTGCTGAGGGCTCCATCATTAGTCACTGATATCTGCATTTGGGCTGGTGGGCCTGTGGAAGCCTGACCTGCTTGGCTTACAGATATTGGAAGTCTGCTTGGAGCCTAGGCACAGCTGCTCTCGGGAACTGTGAGGTAAAGTTATGAGGAGATGCTTACAGGTGACTGCCATGGGCTGACCATAGACAGCAGCATGTCTTTGTTGATTTGTCCTGCTTGCTGAGCTGGGGACTGAAGCCTGGGTTTTGTGTCCTCCTCCTGTTCCTTTCTCCTCTCTCCCTCTCCCTCCCTCTCCTCCTTGCTTTCCCCCATCCTCTTTTGTCCCACACCCCCTCCTCTTTCTCCTCCTTTCTTCTTTCTTCTTTAATTTTTGAGACAGGATCTAAATGAAATTTCCTGAACCTTCAGTCCTCCTGCCTCAACCTCTAAGTAATGAGATTACAGGCCTACATCACCAGGTGTGGTTAGACAATGGCACACTAGTTCAAGCTTAACTCTTGTCCCTGGCTGAAGATTTGTAAGGAAATAGGTATCTGGGTATATGTTGTACAGCAGCCTGCCCTTAACCTGGGTATCCAAACTCCTGCTGAGGATACTACTCTCCCCCAAATCCCATATTCTTCAGTATTGACAGTCTGAACTTGCACCCCCCTGCCCCGTTCTGTGCCCTAGAGAGAATAGTGACTGTTGATGATTGGCCTAGTCACCTTTACCAGATGTTGGATCTATCAGAACAGGGCCAAATTCACACTTCCTCTTCAGAAGGCCAGAGAGACATCCCATGCTCTCTCACAGGCACAGCCAGGTGGGGCCTAATCATTTGGTGGGTCACAGGCAAGGGGGTTCCCCTGGCAGAACACATGGACCTTTATCTGCAGTCTCTCGTCTTTCCCGGGTAGATGACTTCATGAAACAGAGCCGGGGCATGCTGCTGCTCTACAGCATGAAGAACCCCAGCTTTCCGGAGTACATCTTCAGCAGCGAGAGTGGCATCATGTGTCTGGACATGCATGTGGATCACCCCTACCTGGTGGTTGTGGGCTACTACGATGGCAACGTGGCTATTTACAACCTCAAGAAGCCTCATTCACAGCCCTGCTTCCGCAGCACCTCCAAGTCTGGCAAGCACACGGACCCTGTGTGGCAGGTCAGCCTGGGACTTGGTGGGAAGAGCATGTGGGCTCAGGAGCCATTGATGATAGACCTTGGGAAGGAGAAAACTGCAAGCGAAGGGCTGGAGGGGCTGGAGAAGGCAGGTTCCAGCCCAGGAGCTGGATATGCAGAGAAGGGCAAAGGTGAGACTCGGGGGTCAAAAGTTTTCTTTTAGAGCTGGAGTCTTCGGGAGGTAGTGACACACGCCTATAGTCCCGGCACTTAGGAGAGAGAGGCAGGGAGAGCTCTGAGTCTGAGAACAACCTGGTCTACCGAACGAGTTCCAGGACAGCCAGGGCTACACAGAGAAACCCTGTCTGGGGAAAACAACATCAAAAACAAAACAAAAAAAAAAAAAAAACAAAAACAAAGAGCTGAAATCTGCTGCTCATAAGTTCCATCATGAAGACCTGAGTTATCTGCCAAGACCCACTTACGGGTGCCGTTGGTACCTCTGCAGCCGTGGCTGGACACCTCCAGGACTTCTGGTTCAGACCCTTACCTACAAGGTTCCTGGATCCCCACAGGGACCCTCCTCTGCCGCCTGAGCAAGATAGGAATGGCACTGCCTATTGCATATCCTCTGGCTGGGGCCTCAAAGTCTGTGGGCTGGGAATGGAAAGCCTGTGGGCAGCCTGTTCTTGTGCCTCTTTGTAGCATCCCTCTTTCATAGACAGGTTTAGCAAGGTAGGCAGGGCTTCTCACTGGGGGAGCAGGCCATCCCCACTGTGTTCCAAAGGTGCCCCACCTCTCTAAGCTGTGTGCCACTCTCATGGGCGGGTCTGAGAGACTCTAAGGGTGGATTCCTGCCTGAAGTTGCCCCAAGTCTCTGGGCTCTTCAGTCAATACTTAGGGCTCTGTCTTCCTTTGCCCTCGTGCCCTGGCTATCTTCAGCCAGGTGTTTGTGCTCACCTCTTTTGGCCCTGAGTTCATTGCCCCAGGCACTGGATATGCACTCCACATAGGCCTGAGTGGAGAGTAGGCTTCCTAGACCTCGGGAAATGGCACCCTGTCAGCTTCAGATTTTCTCCAGAGCCTGGGGCAAATGGTGTCAGAGAGTCAGCCCTCAGGCTCCATATCATCCTGATCTCATTCTCTACAGAGGTTCTATCCACCCAAAAGTCCACATCATTATCTCCACACACATGGAACTCTCCAGATATGAAGAGGGTGTCACCAAAGGCTCTAAAGCCCTGACTCTGTCCTCCCCAGTTTAGACAGCCCAAGGCTAATCAAGAAGCACCTATAATTGACTTTACCACCCTCCCCTTCCTCAAACCCAGGATTGTGGAATAGATCTAGATTCCTACCCTGCCATATCCTCTCGGTCAAATAGCAGAGTGGAGAGTTGTCCCAGATACTCAGTTTACCTGGATGGTCTGCTTTCCTGTGTCCTGCCAGGAAAACAGGGCAGCTACCTTTGCAAACTCCAGGCTCAGGCTACAGTCATGGCACATAACTAGAAAGGACCCGGCTGTCACTCATCTCTCCACTTCCTGTTTCCTTCTTTTCCTCTCATAGCCTCTATCATTCTTCTGTTCATTAGCTCCTCCCTGTTTGCTCCTGTGGCTGATGAGGATGCTTAAGGGTCTTGCCTCTGGAGTTCTTGGTGAGAGATAACTGCAGGCTGACCAGGGTGGAACAGACTTCTCATGCTGAAGTGTTAAGTGTGTATCAAGGGGAATGTTGTCCTCAGTGGGGACCAAAGGCAGAGGCCAGACAGATCTTTCTAGAGGAAGTGACTTCTGATCTAGATTTTTATTTGTTTTTACTTTTTGCATAGCCCTGGCTGTCCTGGAACTCACTGTGTAGGCCAGCATATCCTCCTGCCTCTGCCCCTGGAGTACTGGTATTAAAGGTGGTTGCCACCACACCTGGCTCCTGCTCTGGATTTTAAGGGATGTCATTATTACAAAAGGAGTCACTGAGCAATAATAAAAGGCTTCAAGCATAGTGGCCCACTGGGAAACAGTGTCATTTAGAGGATGTGTGGCAGGGGAGAGCGAAGGTCTGAGGAAAGGGCAGGCACCCAGTTGGGAGTGTGCTTAGCTTGAGCATTACAGATCAGTGGTTTCAAATGTAAGGTTAATACAAAAGTACAGTATATCAAAAAAAAAAAAAAAAAAAAAGAGCAGAACCGCTCTGGTAAAACCAGGGCCTTGCTTACTTAAGGGTCCCCTATTGTCATTCTGCTGCCTCCTGTGGTACTTCCCAGGGGTCCTAAGACATCCTATGAGCATAGTTTGAAAATCACAGCCCAATCATCAGAGGATTTGGATGGAGGTATAACAGTCATTATAGTGTTTTGGAAAGGCACTCTGGCTACAGCATGAGAATTTTTGAAGGCTGGGAGTAGATAGAGGTACTGGAAATGAAGATGTGGACACGGGATGGGAAGCTGTTGTGGGCAGGGGCATCAATAGAAGGAGTTGTTTAGACATGGGGAGAGGGAAGAACTGTTTTGCCCAGTTTTGGGGTGCCCAGTAGGGCATCACTAGATGTGAGAAATGGCAGAGAGGAACATGTGTGACCAGAGGTTGATAGGAAAGGCAGAAGGAAAGCCCCAGTGTGCTAGTAAGAGCCCAGAGCTTTAAGACAAGCCAGGCCTGTTGAATGAGATGTCCAAGGCCTAAGACCCAGGTCCTTCTGTGCCTTGCGTGCATTTGAACCCAAGATTTTAGTAGCCAGCCTGGGGTAGTCTGCTCTGTTGGCAATAGGAAGCCATGGGAAGCTGTGGAGCCAGGGTTTTCTGACTGGGTTAGTGTCTTGTACAGCACAGGCTCCTTCCCCAGGCAGTCTGAGCCCTGGTCAAACAAGCTCTACTGTGAAGCCTTAACCAGCAACACTCTGTACAACTGCACTGCACAATTCTAGAAAGGGACCAGGAAGAGAGTATGAGCAGAGACTGATCCAGTACTCTCTCATAATCAGATAAGCAGGAAGAAGAGGGTTTCCATTCAGTGCTCCCCACACTGGCCCCTGGGTCCTCACTGATTTCCTAGACCCTGTTGGTAAACCTTCCCTCTCTCCTCCACTCTAGGAGGGCATGTGTGATTTACACACACACACACACACACACACTGGGCATGAGGCTGCTAAGTGGGGTGTGAAATACAATTTCCATGAGTACTAGTGTCTGCTCATTAAACACTTCCCTTTGCAGCTCCCCTGTGCCTCTTATAGCTTGGCCTTTGACATCTTTGTCCCCTCCCCCCTTTAAAGGGACCGTGTTTGCACAGAAGGGGAAGTGGTCTCAAGATCCATCCATATTGTGCCTTACAGCCTCTGCCGCATTCTGGCCTCCCAGTAAAAGCACAAAAGAACCGGCTACCCAGACAGGCCCAGGCAGAACTCAGCGTTGCCTCCTGCAGCGGCTCCAATCTGATTCACCAGGCTTAGGGGCTGGATGGAGACAAACCTCCCCCCCCCCCAACAGCCATGGTGACAGCTGCGGTTGCAGGCAACAGCAGTTACAGGCAACAGGCCTAGGTTCTTGGCCTCCCTCTCTGGACCTCAGCTTGTGACAGAGGGAGGGGACTGGACAGGGGTCCCAGCATGGGGGGTCTGGAGGGAGTCAGAGGACGGAGAGCTCTGGGCACCCAGCCCCACCCCAGCTTTCTGGGACTTGGCTTGGCCAAGCCTCCACATCTGGCAACAGAAACTTGAGCCTCAAGCGTGTCATCTTCATAAGACAACAGCTCTGTCTCCAAAACACTTTCCCATATGTTTGCTTCCAGCCCTGAGAAGACGGGTGGGGCAGGATAATTAACCCGGATTTGCAGATGGAGAAATGCAGCTCAAATCTGGGATTTGGGAGCAAGATTCTGGGAGCAGGAGCTGGTGTTGGTTTGAAGGTGGGAACAACAGAGACTCTTTCAAGAAAAAGGCCAAGCCTAGAAGAGGGGACTGACTCCCTTCCCTCACCCACTGAGAAGGGAGCAGGCCCTCCAGAAGCTTGTGGCCCACCTTCCTAGGTGGGTAATAATGAGGATATTAACTAGCTGAGATTTCTGTGTGTTTGTGAGGCAGGATCTTGCTGTTTAGCCGAGGCTGGTCTAGAACTCATGTTCCTCCTGCCTCGGTCTTCTGAGTGCTGGGAGTCAGTTCTCACAGATGCCATCAAACTGAGTGTTTGGCCCCATTAGCTAGTATTTTTTGAACGTTTACTATGTGCAGTGTTCTGAAGATTTTACATACAGTAGATCCTTTACTTCTCACATGTTATCATGACTTTCATTTTATAAGTGAAAAAAACGAATTGTGGATCTCTGACCTTTCCAGGCCATGACTGTGTGGGGAGATTAAACCCAGGACCAGGATTTCCCACAACTAGATTTCTAGAACAATGCAGAAAGAAATTGGGTACCACTACTGCCAACATGCATCCTAGGGAGATGCTCTGGCTGATACTGTGGTTCCCGGTTGAAAACAGAGCTGGGAGTTCTGAAAATGAGCTCCCAGGACTTCTACTTGAACCCCAGATGGGTTCATGGGGTGCTCTGCCTACAGCCCTAACCCAACACCCTAACAGAGTTCCAAAACTTGTGGTTTGTGATGTTTCAGGTCAAGTGGCAGAAGGACGACATGGACAACAACCTTAACTTCTTTTCTGTGTCATCTGATGGCAGGATTGTGTCATGGACCCTAGTAAAGGTGCCTGTTTCCCAGAAAGGGACATAGAGGGGTGAAATGGGAGGTGCTAAATGGCAAGCAGTTACTGAATCTGCCCAACCCTTCATCCTCTCCCTCCCTCTCTGACTGTAGAGTGAGCTGGTTCATATAGACATCATCAAGCTGAAGGTGGAAGGCAGCACTACAGAAATCCCTGAGGGGCTGCAGCTGCACACTGTAGGTAGGAGCCCCAGGCCTCACACCTCCGACCTGACAAGCCCATTCAGTCCCAGCACCCCAGGGTCAGTGACAGTGGCCATTTACCTTCCGAGTGCTCTCTCTTACTAGAGGCTAGACTGGAAGGGCGGAGCCCTTGACCATTGGCACACACCTCTATTCAGGCAGGTCCTTTCCCACGCGCAGACCCTGCTCTTGTTTATGCAAATCAGGTGCTGCTCTGCAGACCCATCCCTGTTTATGCAGATCTAAGCCCTGTTTACCCAGATCCTGTCCCTGTTTACTCAATTCCTACCCTGTTTATGCAGACTCTATCCCTGTTTGCACAGACCATGTCCCTGTTTGCAGACCCCCATCCCTGTTTACCATGACCCTGACCCTGCTTAACTCAATCCCTGCCTTGTTTACCCAGGCCCCCATTCTTGTCAGCAGAGGCCCAACTGCCTAGGGCAAGCAAGCCCCTGGTCCAGTTTCTGTTTTCCTGGCCTGAGCCCAGCACTTACAGCGGCCCAGTTCTGCTTGTCCTACACTGAGCTGGGTGGGAGGTTCCCTCCGAGAACCAGGCTAAGTCTGTCCCTTTTCTCCCGAGGCTGTGGCACTGCCTTTGACTTCCACAAAGAGATCGACTACATGTTCCTGGTGGGCACAGAGGAGGGGAAAATCTATAAGGTGAGGTGCATGCCCTGTCAGCTCCTCACAGCACCTAGAGAGGGTGTAATAGTATTCAACAAGTCCAGTTCTGACACCAGTCTGACATCCAGTGTTCACTGTTCTGGAAGCCTTTGTGGGGAGAAGAACATAATTCATTTTTTGAAAGTTTTTTTTAAAATTGGTGTGTGTGTATGTGTGTGTGTGTGTGTGTGTGTGTGTGTGTGTGTCTGTGTGGTATGTGTGGTGTGGTATGAGTATGTGTTGGTGTGTATGTGTATGGTGTGTGTGTGTGTGTGTGTGTGGTATGTGTGGTGGTGGTGTGTGTGTGTGAGGTGTGTGTGTGTGGTATGTGTGGTGTGGTGTTGTGTGTGGTGTGTGTGGTGTGTGTGTGTGTGATATGTGTGGTGGTGTGTGTGTGGTATGTGTGGTGGTATGTGTGTGAGGTGTGTGTGTTGTGTGTGTGGTATGTGTGTGGTGTGGTGTGTGTGTGTGTGTGGTGTGTATGGGCACACTCATGTCACAGTGTGCATGTGGAGGTCAAAGGACAACCTGGTGGAGCTGGTAGGGCTCTAACTAGGATCTTCAGCATTGGTAGCAAACAAGTACTTTTAGCCACTGAGCCATCCTGCAAGCTTTTTTATTTGTACTTTTATTTATTTATTTAGTGGTGGTGTGGGGGATGCATGCATGCCACAGTACATGTACGGAGATCAGCAGATAGTTTGTAGTTTTCCAAGGGTTGAACTCAGGTTATCAGGTTTAGCAGCAAGTACCTTTACTTGCTGAGCCATCTTGCCAGTCCAAGAATGCATGTCTTGGTTCTCTTGGGTGGCAGGAAAAGGGGCTATAATTAGGAAAGGTGATGGAGAATCTAGAGAGTAACTTGAACCAGTCTCTTTCCTCCTCTCCTAAGAGGCAGATATGGGAGTAGGGGCTTGGGGGAGCTAGGATACTCGGCCCGGCCGACTTCCTGGAGGAGATCTGAACTTGAGCTGGGCCAGGTATCAAACATTTATCTCTGCGTGTGAGGTGCATGGCTGCCAGCAGGACACAGCCACACAGCCAGTTTTGTGCCCTGTCTCAGTGTTAGTAGGTGAACATCCCTCTGAACCTCCATCGTCCAGAAATAGCTGTGCTGTGAGCTTTTCTTAGGCTCCGAGACTTAGAATGTTAATTACAGACAGCCTCCCGGGAGCCCCAGAGGCCCAGCCTGAGTCGGTCTGAATGCAAAAGAGGAAAGAAGTCCCCACCCCCTCTCCACCCCTTCCAGTGGCTGCGGGAGAGTCAGGGGAAGGAAAGACTAGTCACTTGGTCTCCTGGAGTGAAGTGAGAGAAGCTTCCTGGCCAGGGCAGACACTGAATGGGAAATCTGGGGGTCTGAGCCTGCTCCTGGCTCCACACTTGCTCTGACCTGTACAAGGTGGGGTGCTGCTTACTGTGGCATGGATGATGTCTGAACTGCAGTGAAGCCATGGCTCTGTCAACCAAAGCTTTGGCATGGACAAAAGATTAGACCGTGCCCCATCCTTGCCTAGGGCATGAGACCCACTTTGCCTTGCAACAGAGAGAGAAGTCACTTTCTTACTCAGTCACTTTTCTTCACCCTCCAGGAGGGCACCATGCCTTGCCCGAACCCTGGTCCTTAATTGCTCTCTCTCTCTTTGGGAGTTGGGGGTGACGGGATGTAGATGGACAGAGGCTCAGGTGCTGACCCTCTAGGGCCCCAAGGAAAGGACACTGCTGGCTTTCTTCTCACTGTAGATCCCAACCTTCCTGAATCACCCATCCCCTACCCTTCCACAGTGCTCTAAATCCTACTCCAGCCAATTCTTGGACACCTATGATGCTCACAACATGGCTGTGGACGCTGTGATATGGAACCCATACCACACCAAGGTCTTCATGTCCTGCAGCTCTGACTGGACAGTGAAGATCTGGGACCACACCATCAAGTGAGGGGCTGCCTGCCCTGCCCCATGCCCTCCCCTCAGCTCTATGAACCCTCTGTGTTACGAGCTTGACCTTTTTGTCACTGCAGGACCCCCATGTTCATATATGATCTGAACTCAGCTGTGGGTGACGTGGCCTGGGCACCATACTCTTCCACTGTGTTTGCAGCGGTCACCACGGATGGGAAGGTGAGTGGTCCTTTCTCATTTGGGAGAGAGAGCCTGCCACATGCCACTCCAGGTCAGTAGGGGATGATGGGATAGAGGACTATGCAGAGAAGTGTGGAGAAATCCTTCGTCACAGGGGACCTCAAGGAAGGAAGGAAGGAAGGAAGGAAGGAAGGAAGGAAGGAAGGAAGGAAGGAAGGATGGAAGGAGTTTTCATCTTAGGGAATAGACTCTCTGGGGAGCTGACATACCATCCAGAAGTTGTCTTCCTTGAGGTCGCTGTGAAGGGGCTAGAGGGTGCCTAGCCTCTGGGCCAGTTGCTTGTCTGTAAGGTAGTGATCCCCCCCCCACCTCCAGAAGTGTCCTAGCTGGTCTGAGGAGCTTGAGTAGTGTGTGACAGACTCAGAAGCCACCTTGTGTGACAATGTCCTTATGTGCAAGCTTGTTCGTTCCCTTTATGGAGTTTGATATAACCTGACAAGTACCTGCAGCTCCAAGCAAAGAATCTAAGGATTAAGGCATTACCCCCACATCAGACATCCCTCCATGAACATGTTGTTAAGGGCCAACCCAGTACTGGGCTCCAGGCACCTGCTCTTACGGATCTCACATTATAGTAGGCACCAAAATTCCTACCATGTTAGAGCAGAGGACCGAAAGAGGGTGGTGCATGGACACAAATGTTTATAGCAGCTTTATTCATAATGTCCAAACAAGGAAAGGAGACAGCAGTATCCATCAAATCATGAACAGCAAACAATTCAGTGTGTATGCAAAAGGATCATATTCAGCAGACAAGGAACATGTGACAACATAGGAAGGCATGAAAAGCTATGCTAAACCAAATAGACCAGACACGAAAGAACAAATAAATGATATGTCCAAAATAGGTTTGCCCTGCATGTCTCACATCAGGAAACAAATCTATAGAGATGCAGAGTAGACTTGTGTTTGCCTCAGATAGAGGGGTTGAGAAAAAATGGGGAGTGACTGTTAATGAGTACAAAGTTTGCCTTGTAGGTGAAGAAAACACTCTAAAGTTGGTTGTGATAATGGCTTCATAAGTGACTGTGCTTAAAACCAAGGAGTGTATACTTAGGACGTTAAGTGGATGAACCGTATAGTATGTGAATTATTATCTCAGTAAAACTGATATATGAAACAGCGCCAGGCTTGGTGGTGCATGCCTATGCCTATAATCCCCAGCATGCAGAAGGTAGAAGCCAGAGACACAAGTTTGAAGCCAGTCTGTATTATGTAGCAAGTCAAAGCAGGCAAGACTGAGCTGTAGACCCTGGGGGGGTGGGGGTGGGGGTGGGAGCTAGGTACTTTCTTAGGAAAGGCTTCTTTAATGAGGTAAAGCTCAAACTGGGAGCTGAATGACAAGTACTGGCCTTTCACCATGACCATCATCATCATCACCATCACCATCATTATTAGGTAGTTCTGCCTGTCCTCTTATGTAGAGACCAGGCCGGCCTCCAACTCGCGGAGATTCACCTGCCTCTGCCTCTTTTGTGCTAGGATTAAAAGTGTGAGTCACCATACCCTATTAGGAAGATGAGGTGGGGTAGCTGTACACACTGAGGCAACTCAGGACACCAGTGTTCTGAGGTGGGGATGGGAACTGAGACAGTATGTCTGGGCTACAGTGAGCGAAGGGCAGAGGCCGAGGGTGAGAGTGAGGACATGGGCCGCATATGGAACCTGGCTCCAAGGAGAGTGGGAGAAATTTTTTTCAAGGGAAGCCGGCCAGGGTGCTGTGTGGAGGATAGATTGCAGATAGGTAAGAGCAGAAGCAGGGGTGCTGCTGGCTGTCACAGCAGGAGCTGATAGTGATTTGGGCTCCCGGTGAGGCGAAGATAATATCAAGCATTATGGGGCACTTAGGCACCAAACTCTGAGCACTTTGTATTTATTAGCTGGGATAAACCCCTGGCTCTGCCACTTACAAGCAAGTTAGCCTCCAATAGCTTCCACGTCCTCATTTATAAAATAGGGACAGTAACAGAACCGCCATATGGAGTGGTTGTGAGGGGTATAATTAGATGATCCAACCTTAACACTCCTGCCCAGAGCCTGGAACATGGTAAGTATATTAGACTGGATAAATGGTAGCTGCCATTATCGGTTTTTACAAAGCTCTGGGCTTCTTTGGGGTGTTTTATACATACATGCCACTTTGGTTTGTTCCATCCTCTTCCCTCACCATCCCCTCCATCCCTCTGACGCCCCTTGCCTGTCCCTTTGTCTCCTCTAGTGGTCTCCCCTCTGCTTTCATGTCACATACATCCCACCACTGTGATTATTATTTATCTGCTTAGACTTAAGATTTAATCTTTTATATTCCCACTCCCTCATCGTGGGAAGAAAGTAAACCAAAATCAAGTCCTTCTGTTGTCTCCAGATCAGCTGTGCTGACCGTTAGCCTTCTGTAGGGTTCCAGAATGTCTGAGGTGGGATAGCAGGGCCTCCTTTACTCGACTGGTGACATTAACCTCTTCATAGGCCCATGTGTTTGACTTAGCCGTCAACAAGTATGAGGCTATCTGCAACCAGCCTGTGGTGGCCAAGAAAAAGAACAAGATCACCCACGTGCAGTTCAATCCCATCCACCCCATCATGATCGTGGGTGATGACCGCGGGCACATCACCTGCCTCAAGCTCTCTCCCAACTTGCGGAAGATGCCTAAGGTATGGGCTCTGGGAGTCCTGGCTGCCATCAAGAGATAGGGGGATGACAGGGAGGAGCCAGGGGCCAACCCAAGTTTCTGGCATGAAGAATTCAAGGTAAGGATGGTGTCACTGCCTGAATGAGGAGCTCGGAAAAAGGTTTGTGAAGTAACATCAGTTTGACCTGCTGCACGTGAGTTCTCTTTAGGGGTGTAGGGGGCTTGGAACAGGGGGGAGGCAAGCATCATTGGCTTATTGGAAGTGCAGGATGTTGTAGGTGTGACAGGTCACCGGGAGAGGAACTCAAGGCTTAGCTGAAGCATCTTGCTGAGCTTAGAGAGTTTCAGCTCCAATGGTCCCTGAACTAGGAGCTGTGAGTCTACCCAGAGAAGGAGGAAATGAGCCCTGAGCAGGGTAACTAGGTCAGCAGCTAGGCAGGCCTCCTTTGGGTTCTGGATTCTGTTTCTCCCATCTCTAATGGTGAGAAGACCCAGCCCAGAGCCCAAGGACCCCAAACGTATGGCACATAGCCCAGAGCAATGACCACAAATCTATACCTGAGCCCAAATTCATACTTAAGACTCAAGCCTCACAACATAGGCCTTAGAATCCAGAGCCTCAGGACCCAACTTAAAAATACAGATGCCATTTGTATATGGAAGTAGAAATGGCTCTGCTCTCTGCCCAGCTTGGGGCCAGGGTCAGGGTCAGCCAAGTTGCCCTGATCATTGAACCTCCAGAGTACAATTTGAGGCATATACTACAGTTTGGAGCAGTCTGGGGCTTGTCTTGTTCAGCCACACTCTTCTTCCCTAAGTGTCCCTTCCCAGCCAAGGACTGTACCATCCTTTGAATACTGGCATAGACTATTCCCACCATGGCCAGGCAGGCAGGGGCTGGAAGTATGGACGGCCTGTAATTGTAGCCAGCTGGGGGAGGGGGTGGACTTGGCTATAAATACTCAGAAGGCTGTTAAGCGCCTGCAGCTGTGGCCCGCAGGCTGCGGTGGGCTTTGGGGGTTGGGGGAGTCAGGCATGGTCTAAATCTCTTTGCAGCGCCCAGCTCCTTGGCCTCAGTAGGGAGACAGGAGGCAGCAATTTGTGTGGGACAGATAAAATCTGTTCTTAATTTAACGAGGGGTTGGCTTAAATGGCAGAGCTGGACAGCCCCCTGGGAGGATGATGGCCACTCTTTAGGAGAGGAGCATAGCCCTGACACCATGAGCATGGTAGATATGAAGGAATGCTACCCAATGTGATCCTGGGAGGCAAGATTTATCATGGTTCCATCTCCCCACCAAGCAAGGGTCAGTTGTGACTGAGGAAGTTGAACCTAAATCACCCAGATCTGAGCAAGAACAGCGTGTGTGTGTGTGTGTGTGTGTGTGTGTGTGTGTGTGTGTGTGTGCTAGTACTTGAGAGGATTAGAAGTTCCTGTGAGGTGACCCTGTCAGCACTCAAGTGATTCATACAAAAGGAAGTCTTCCGGGCATCCCTGCTGCCCTTCCTCTGGGAGATGCAGATTCCCTGCCCTTTCCAAGAGGGCTTACCTCAGAGGCCTGAACTCCTCTCCCGGGAACTTCCCCTGAGTGTCATTGGGGGCCAGGAACTGTCTTTCTTTTCCTCCCATGTAGTTGGGAAAGTGAGGCTCAGAAAGGGACTTGTCCTGTCTGATGGGACCTAATGACAGCAATGGGACTAAAAACCAGGTCCCTTAAATACCAAGAGACCCTTAATCATGGAGGGAGAAATGGAAGAAAGAAAAAGATGGCTGTCCTGGGCCTCCCTTGAGTTGAGCAGTGAGCTGGGTAATGGCAAAGGCACCAGACAGTGTGCCAGGGGCTGTGGGAGCAGACCTGGCAGCAGAGGAAGTTAGAAGTCAGCAGAGCAGCAGCAGCTGGGGTGGGGGTGGGGGTAGAGGGCAGGGAGCAACCTGACCTTACAGTCCCAGCAGGTGTGGCTTGGGCAGGTGCCAGAAAACAGTGGGCACAGGTGGCAGAGGGGAGAGGGAAGGCAGAAAGTGGCAGCTGCCCAGCCCATCTCAGCACAGTCCACATCCTGCTGTCTGGACAGGAGGGAGAATCTGACTGATGTGGCCTGCTACAGAATTTTCCAGCCTGTGTCCAAAATCCCATTTCCCAGGACCCAGCTCACCTGTGGGAACATTAGAATGCTTTGCAGGTGGAAATGAGGGTCATAAACTCGGGGTCTGAGGGACAGTCCCAAATGGAGTCACATGTGTCTGCTGTCATGGGTCTCTTGGTTCTTACCTGGGTATGTGACACATCAGTCTGGCTTCAAGCGGCACCCCTCCCCCAACTCTATGAGGACACCTGTGGCCCAGTCCTCACCTCTCGATCTCCTGCAGCACACGTCTGGTCTGTGTCCTCTTTGCAGGGCTGAACCTGAGTGGTCCTAACAGAAAGCTCCTGCCTCTCCTCAGAGCCTATAGCTCTCCATGACCAACTTCTGAAGGATTGAGGATAAATGCCTGTTGCCACTCCTGCCAGCACCAAGCCCTTGCTAAGCTTCTGCACTGGGGTTGGCGGCCTCCTCACAGGCCCTCAGATGAGCCTCTGAGTCACCTAACTTGAGTAGGGGGAGGACCGAATGAGAGTAGCAGGAGAGGCAGAGGAGCCAGTGGTGGTACCTAAAAAGAGGGGGCCGGTCCTTCACCATTCCACTCATATTGCTCCTCTGCAGGAAAAGAAGGGACAGGAAGTGCAGAAAGGTCCGGCCGTGGAGATCGCAAAACTGGACAAACTGCTAAACCTCGTGAGGGAAGTAAAAACCAAAACTTGAGCGTCTGGCCCCAGGCCCTGGCCACCTGAACCCAATATGTGGAGCCCTTTGCCTGAGTACCAGGGTGCCTAAGCACCAACAATGTGTCTCACCCGGTCAAGCCCCAGTAATTGCCTTCCTCACTCTAGTTCTTAAGGTCATAGCACCTTTTCTCCATGACTTGACCTTCAACCTCCATTGCTCTCCCTTTACACAAATAAACCTGTTTGAAAACTCATCTCATAGCTTTAAATTTTCCACCACACAGACCCAAGAAGAGGAGAAGTCTCAGGGTAAGCCATAGTTCCATTTATTATCCAACACACAGTGGGAGGACCAGGGAAGGGGCCCAGCCTGGACACCCTCCCATTATTGCCATGGGTTCTAGTTTGCTTCCCCAACTGAGAGAGCCCAGAGGTGCTGAGCTTAGGGAGGTAAACAGCCCTTGGCCCTTGGGATGGAGCAGAATCCAGATGGCCCTGGCCCTAGCACCAACTCCTAACCCCTACTCCAGGCCTGGCTTTCTAGGGCTACTCAGGCCTCTTTTTGAGTCAGGCTGGCTACAATCTAGGCTGCTGGGTCCAGTTTCAAATACACTGGACTCTAAATTCTGGCCCCCAGAATGGCTGAACTGTGGGATCAGAAGCCACACTCTGACTGGTATACTCAGGTCCAGGACTCCAGGATAGGCCAGGGGCCTTCAGGGCTGCAGCAGATAGCTGCCTTCATGGCTAGGCTTCTGGGGGGGTGGCGCCTTCTCAGGACAGGGGCCAGGGCTGGAGTTGGGACTGGATTCCGAGAGAGAATCGACGTCAGTAGAACGAGAGTGGCAGGCCCAGCAGAGAATGACCCAAAGCAGTAGCAGCAAGAAGCCTACAAGGCCGTTACAGACGATGGCAATGAGGGCCCCCTGGGAGATGGCTGCCCCCATGACAGGCAGCACCCTCAGGTCAACGCAGATAGCAGAGCTGCCTCGATGGCAAGGCCCATGCCGAGGCACAACTTTGGTATTGCCGGCTTTCCAAGGAGGCTGTCCTGTCCACACACAATGATTCCTGGGTAGTGGAGATGCCACCTGCAGTCCTGAGCCTGGGGGAGTACAGAGGAAAGAGGGAGGTGAAGAGGAGGAAGTGGGCTGAAGCCTAGAGGGACTGCTTCCCTCTCCCATCTTTGGCCTCTCAGGCAGAGGATTGAGTCCCAGCAGGCTCGAGTACCTCCCTGAGCCAGTGCCTCCATCCTGGGGCCTGGCTCTGAGCACCTGGTGCTGTGGTGCGGCCACAGGGGGAAGCTGTAGTAGGCAGGCAGCCTCTATCTCATTCTCTCCTTGCCTGTGAGGGTATAGCCTAGCCCTGCCCACCAAGGTCCAAGCCTTCAGACATGCTGTTGGTGGGCGGGACTGAGGTGGCCCAAGGCCCACGAGGAAGAGGCTTATGACCATCACTGTAGAGGCTAGAGCATCCTCTCTTTCTGGAGGCTGCAGTAAGCCAATCCAGGAAACCTGCAGAGATGCCAGCTCACACAGAAGGGAACTTTGTGGAGGCCCTAGCAGTAATGTGTGGGTCCTGCATATCCAAGGCTGCGTGCCTAGGTGTACCTTTCCTTGGAACTTTGCCTCTCTGGGTCAGGTGTGTGTGTGTGTGTGTGTGTGTTTGTGTGTGTGTGTGTGTGTGTGTGTCCCTTGATGGATCTGCATCCTTGTCCCTACATACCTACCTCTGTGAAGGTGTGTGGCTGCCTGTCTCTGTGTCCCTATCTCAAGAGTGTTTTGAGTGTTTCATGTGTGTGTCTCATTTCTCTACCAGTCTGTCTCTGTGTATCTCTCGGCTCTCTTCACGATTCTTATGTCCCTCTGCCCTCGAGTACATGTCTCTTCCTTTCTCCATGGGGTCGGCAACAGTGGTTCTGTGCGTTTTGCATGTACCTCTGTCTTTGTGTCTATCTTTCCTCCGAGCTGTTTGTCTGTCTCTGTGTGGGTCACTGTCTCTTTATCTCCGTTCAGGATCTCTGTATCTCGACCCCCTGCCCATAGGGGAGCCCCCCCCCCTTACCTGAGTTGAGCCCGGTGCGCGCCCGCGCCCGCGGGAGGGTCGGGGCAGCGGGATGCTCAGCGCCGACTGAGACGCAAAAGCCTGCGGGCGGGGGGCAGCGGGAGGCGGGCAGGGGCGACGTCCACTCCCCGGGCCCTCCCCCTGGGCCGCGCAGCCTCCGCCGGCCGCTCCCGCCGGGGCGCGACCGAGCCGGCCTCTGCCGCGGGCGGTCTGCGGAGAGCGGGCACCTCCTCCCCCTGGGGCGGCGCCTCCTCCGCGGCCGGGGCCGCTAGCTCGCTCGCTCGGCGGCGCTCGGGCGGCGGCGGCTGGAGCGTCGAGGAGTTCGGCTGGGCTCGGCTGAGTTCGGCTGGGTTCGACTGGGCTCGGCTACGGCGGGAGGGAGTCGGCTGAGTTCGGCTGAGCTCGGCGGGCAGCAAAAACAGCTAAGAGCCCCGCCTTGTGAGTGGCCAGCGGCCTGCGGCCCTTGGAGGGCGGAGCCATCGCTGTGCCGCTGCCGCCGTTCAATTGGCTGGTCGGGCCAACTTCCCGCACCATTGGTTGTGCTCTGGGGTGGGACGCGACTGTCCTGGTGCAGAAGAGAAGGAGGGAGGGGCGGAGGGGAGGCAAGAGGCGGGTGAAGGGGCCACTTTGTTTTGATTCATCCCTTGAGTGGGTGGAGGGCCAGGGATGTCATCTTTTTGCAGGGATTTCTTGCACATTCCACACCTGGAATGCACCCCTGCGTGTGAGGCATCTGCCCCTTCAAATCTGGAAGAAGTCTATCTCTATTATTTGGAAAAAGTCCATGTGTCTCCACACCTGACCCTCCTCACCTATTATCTTCCTACACATCCCATTCCCACTTAGCATCCCCACTATGCAGGCCTATAGATTGACCCTGATCCTAAGAACAGTGATATCTCTAACAACACAAGACCTTGGTTGCGTTCTACTGATTTCTCACCCAGTGTTGGTCACAGGCTTGTGTGCTTCGCTTGCTGGAGGGAGCCTGAGACACCTGAAGAATGGCTCAGCTCTCTCTAGCTGGACTAGATCCAAGCTCGATGGATGCCCTGACTCTATCCTGAGACCAAAGCAACTCAGACAGGAGCAGTCAAATGGACCTTCCTTTCCTGGACCCTCACAAGGCAGTGATGTTCCAACCTAGGGCTTTGGGCTCACACATACCGTGCAACCATGCTCTCTCCCACTGAGCTACGTTCCTAGCCCTCAAGGGATTCCTAAGTGTTCTTATCTGGACAATCAGTTCTGTCACAGTACTCCCACTGGCCCACATGCAGCCTTAACTTCTCTCTGGAATATTACAGTCATAGAAAAATGTCTACTGGAATCGTAGTCGTGTTGGTTTCTAGCTCCACTTTCTAACTTTGTGATGTTGGGCAAATTTCTTGACTCTTTGAACTAGAGCTTTCTTCTCTACAAGCTGGTTATAGTATTAGCTACTTCTCAGGTTTCTCACTAATTCATTTATACCATGCCAACCGCATCAGCAAATGCCAGCCAACATAACCCCCAGGACCAGGTGGCTAAGGAGCAGGGCCCCTCCTTTCAAGAAGATGGCTGGAAACCTGGATACTATTTGAGAAAGAGAAGGGGAAGTATAAAATAATCTGAACGGCTGAATCATCTAAAGCTACTGTGTTAGAGGCTGTCTAAAATAAACTGTGGACCCCGTGGAGTTTGTCAGAATGGATTAATTTTAGTTTCCCCCCTGTTACCCAGCAGGGTGGGGGCATTGTGAGAAAGATCAGACCAGTTATAGGAAAGAGGAGACATATGGTCGCACATCTGAGTGTAATGTGAGTGATTTTGTGACCTAGCCACAGGGGTTCAGATTTTATCCTGGAAACAGTGGGGAGTCACTGAAGAATTTTTAGCAGTAGAGTGATGTGACCAGATCCAGAAATTAGGATGGTTTGGGCTGTTGGGTGGAAAGGAGTTTTGAAAGCACTTGAGGATGAAAGACAGGGGTATTGATGAGGAGCTAAAATGTCCCTGGCAAACGGAGTGGGAGGGCATTGGGAGTGTCTGGGTCCATCAGTAGGCAGAACTCAGAAAATTGGGGAAGTTAAAAGAGGATCTTCTGGGTAACTGGTTAGTAGCTCTGATACTGTGGTGCAATGTCCAGTGATAAAGAACACATAAGAGGGGCTGATGAGATGCCCCCAGCCTGACCCGAGTTCAATCCCTGGGATCAATGTGGTAGAAGTTGAGAACTGACCCCAAGATGCCTACTGACTTCCATGCTACTCACTGTAGCACATGTGTCCCCCCCACCAAATAAATATAATTTAAATGCAAGTTTCAGCAAAGGACTTGGGCAATAATATTTGGAGGTGTCAAATTTGAGGTGCCACTAGATGCTTTAGTGGAGCTGTTCAGCAGGCTTGAATAAACAGCTCCAAGGTTCAGGAAAGAGGTCCAATGAGTTTTGCAACATGGTGAAAGAGAGTTAAGTCAGAAGACTATATGAGCTCATGTAAGGTGTCAGAATTGGCTTAAACAGTCCCAACAGGCCTGCTTCGTGCCCTGGTCATCCCCACTCCCATTTAGTTTCTAATGTTCGCCTGGTCCACATGGTGAGATTCAATCAATTCCAGATATTAAAATCGTATTGTCTAGGTAGTCAAGGAGAGACTGGGGGAGTGGCTGCTGCTGTCACCACTGCGGCTTTTTGGGTGTGATTTGATTTTTGCAGAAAGTACTCTGATTTGCTTAACTGTGGACTGCTCAAGAAGGGAGTCCATTGGTTAACATGGCTCATAGGATAGCCCTATGGACGTGGGTGGGTGGCTCCCAGAGGACAGACAGAATGGCAGGCACTCAACCATTTTCTACACATTGTTTGCCAGATAATAGACATGTCATTTTTTCTGCATGTGATTCCAAAATATCCTCAGAACCTGCTGGAGTCTGGGTCTAGAATGTCCCCCAAGACCATGTGTTAAAGGCTTGGGCGGGCCCCACGTTGGCACTGTTGGGAGGCAGGAAGTGTTGGGTCACTGCAGGCGTGCTTTTGAAGAGGACTGTGGAACTTGAATCTTTTCCTCTTCCTCTGTTTTTCTTGTCTGGCTGGGCCCTGCTGTGCTACCTGCCACCAGCCCCAAAGCAACTAAGTCAGGAAGTCATGGACACCTACAAAACCATGAGCTTAAATAAACCTTTTTACTTTAAGCTCTTTGTTACATTT